GAAATAAAAAACAGAGCTTTTAAGTTACTGAAGACTCAGAGCTGACACTGGAATTCAAGCTAAGCATCATAAGGAACAGGGACTTTCCAGCTCGCTTCGTGATGGAGACCTATTATTGTTCTAAAGAAGGTGGATCGGTTTCAACTTCCATCTTCCCTGTTATGGCTATTGCCCTGTATTTAGGTGAAATGCCATTTGAGAGATGCTTAAGTGTTTTTGTAGCATTTAGTTTGTTTATTTATTTTCAATGCACTCATGGAAGTCAGGGGAGAAGTTTCTGGAGTCTGTTCTCCCTCTCCACCACATGGGGCCCAGCGTGAAACTCAGGTCATCGGGTTTGTCATTGAGCACCTTTACCAGTGAGCCATCTCACCAGCCATCTCCTTCAAGCTTGCACTACAGAATAAAATCTTGGCATAAGAAAGCTACCCAGGAAGCATCCTCAGACAGTAGGCCTGACTATATGTCTTTTGAGAAAGGACATCACACTGCCTGAGTAACTAAGCAAGGCAAACACAAATGGAAAGATGGGTGAACGAACCCTGGGAAGGGAAATGGGAAATAAGAATGAGAGGAGCTGGGGACAAAGTCTTTCAAGGGAACGTCATAGTTTCAGGAAGCAGGACATGCACTGGTTACAAAGCTTCTCATCGTCTTCCTCACTCTGGGGCCCGTGTGTTTGAATTGCTTTCCAGGCAGTTAGAAATGAAAAGGCAGACCTGTTGAGTCTCCAGGCCCCTCGAAAACCATTCTTGATCTCAAACACTTTATGGTCCAGTTGGGAGACCTAACAAGATGACATTAGTGCATAAAATAAATATGAAAATAAAAGTTTCCTAAGTGTGTGCCAAGCTACATTTTGTTTGCAAAACAACACCCTAGGCCTGAGGCCATTCCTGTCTTTTTTCTGAGTTTCATCTAGAGGAGTCCCCTAGCACAATCACAGTGTTGGGTATGGATTTATAGATGTCACATAAGCTGTCACATGTACTGTTATCCAGCAGCCCATCGATGTAGAATGCCTATGCTGGTCCAGTTCTGATCATCTGAGAACTGCACCTCTACTGAACAAGACAAGCCACGCTTCATGTCTGCGGCAGGAAGCGACCTTCAGGGAGTTCAGAAACTGAAGTGAAACTTGGAACTAAGCGGCCAGGGCAGGCAGTTTCTGATCTGCTTCCCTCTCTGTCCTCTGCCACGCCCCCCCACCTCTCCACACCCACCCTCCTCCCCTTTGCTTTTTATCTGATTCTTCCAACCAAGTTCCTCTGTCTAAATTCACCAACCGAGAGCATCTTTCCTATAGCGTGGAGACACTGTCTTGGGCTTGGGGTGGAAGTCATGAGCTGTGCATCTCTAGCTGGCTCAATTTAAGAACACTGGAGTGCAGGAGGAGGAGGGAATGCTTTGGTACATTCTCCCAGGATGCAAGGACAAGCTGAACAAGAGAGCAAAGGGAACCAGCTCAGTAGTCACAGGCAGTCTGAGGCTGTCAGTGATGGACATGTCCTCTACTCTTCTCACAAATGGACTTTCAGTCATGTTTGTGGAGCAGGAAACGGCAGTCAACTTCTACTGAAGTTGCTGAGCCTTCTTCTAGAGGAGGAGCCAAGTGAAATGAATCCAATTAGTGTGCACTCACACACCTGCACATATCCACGCATGCATTCACTCGAGCACACACACTAGAGCTTGAACATGCATGGAGGGGGCGAGAAAGATAGGGGGAGGAAGGGGGAAAGAGCAGAGGGAATGAATGAGTAATGATAAGAGGACTTAGAGTGTGGAGCTAGAGAGAGGGCCCAGCAGTTAAAAGTGCTTGCTCTCCTTGCTGAGGGCCAGAGTTTGATTCCAGTCAAGAAGCTGAGGTGCCTGTAATTCCAACTCCAGGAGATCTGACACACTCTGGCCTCTGCAGACACCAGCATACACATGCACACAAATACAGACACATACACACACACTAAAACCTTTAAAAAAAAAAGTTGTCAAAAATTTAGTCATTAGAGTTTCATTTAAGGACTTTTAAATGTTCTTTATCACAGAATAATGTCTACTTTTTAATCTTTCCACAAACACCCGTTATCTGGTGCACAGCTTCCCTGTGAGGGAAGTTCAGCTGTTTGCACTAGTTAGAGGAAGAACAAAAGCAGAGAAGTGCTGTACTAGGTCAGTCGGTACAGCGGGGCAGGGAAGGGGCTGTCCAGCCTGGTCTTGACTGGTGGGTCCAGGGATCTTTCCACAGTGCCCGAGTGGCTATCTGGCAAAATCAGTGGGGTTGTTTCTTGGGGGTAGGACACGAGCCCTGAGCTCATCCAGCATCTACAGACTGAGCACTGTAGCCCTGACCTCACCCAGTGTCTACAGATGTGAGCAGTGTTCACATAGACCCCATCTACAGATGTGAGCAGTGTTCACATAGACCCCCCCTCCATCTACAGATGTGAGCAGTGTTCACATAGACCCCATCTGCAGATGTGAGCAGTGTTCACATAGACCCCATCTACAGATGTGAGCAGTGTTCACATAGACCCCCCCTCCATCTACAGATGTGAGCAGTGTTCACATAGACCCCATCTGCAGATGTGAGCAGTGTTCACATAGACCCCATCTACAGATGTGAGCAGTGTTCACATAGACCCCATCTACAGATGTGAGCAGTGTTCACATAGACCCCATCTACAGATGTGAGCAGTGTTCACATAGACCCCATCTACAGATGTGAGCAGTGTTCACATAGACCCCATCTACAGATGTGAGCAGTGTTCACATAGACCCCCCTCCATCTACAGATGTGAGCAGTGTTCACATAGACCCCCCTCCATCTACAGATGTGAGCAGTGTTCACATAGACCCCCCCCTCCATCTACAGATGTGAGCAGTTTCACATAGACCCTCATCTACAGATGTGAGCAGTGTTCACATAGACCCCATCTACAGATGTGAGCAGTGTTCACATAGACCCCATCTACAGATGTGAGCAGTGTTCACATAGACCCCCCCTCCATCTACAGATGTGAGCAGTGTTCACATAGACCCTCATCTACAGATGTGAGCAGTGTTCACATAGACCCCATCTACAGATGTGAGCAGTGTTCACATAGACCCCCCCTCCATCTACAGATGTGAGCAGTGTTCACATAGCCCTCTCCTTAGCTCACCCTGTGTCTATAGATGTGAGCAGTGTTCATGTAGCCCTTGGGCCTGCTCAAAGGCCGCTCTTGACTTAGATGCCAGGCTTTCATTCTGACTCCTGCCCCACATATGACTGATAGATTCTCAGAAAGTCACCGACAATGTGCAAGAGCAGAGCGTGCCCTCTGATAACTGCCAAGCCGTTTGTCATTGTGAGCCCCGTGCTATTGGTGTGAACAGGACACACAGAGGGGCTCGGATCTGTTGTCTAAGGCAGCATCACACAGGCCTTCTTTTGTCTTTGCTAAACACCCCCTTCTCTGACTTTGTGGCAGCCAGGGTATCTGATTTGACGTCAGTCTTGTATAAGCACTGTATACATCATAAGTACCACGCAGTGCTTTGAAGCGATACAGTCATCATTAACATTCTAGGATTTTGCATCACCAAGGAGGTATTTTCTAGCATTATTTGCCCCAGTTTGTGTCTATCTTTTCTATAGTTTTTTTCAATTCATCGTTTCAAAGACAGCCACCTATGCAGACTGTTCCTCCCCTCCCCAGCTTCTATCTTCTGCCCTTCTTTATTCATGTGCTCATATGCATCTTACACCAGAAATGCACTGACCTTGTGTTTCTGGTCCCTGGATCTTGACTGTCATAGTAAGAGCAGGTACCCCATGTCTGCTGTGATGGCCTCATGGCCAACACATGTACTTGGGACAGAACAGAGCAAATGACCTAATGATTGAATTACTTATTTTCTTCAGGCCTTGTTCAGTCCTGAATAGAGCTGCTAGAGAAAAGACCACTTAAAATAAAAAGCCAGGAGGAGGCTGGGGGTAAGGCTCAGTGGTTGAGCTCTTGCCTAGCTCATCCAGGACTTGGGGTGTGATCTTTAACAATCCCATTCCTACCCCAGAAAATTATCAAGAAGCCATTGCAATGGAGAAATGGAAAAGGACTTCGGCTTTCTTTGTTGTCAAAGTTTCTAGTTTGTGATTGACTGATCAGTAAGGGAAGTTCACCGAATGGGAAATGTCAGGATGCTGAGTCAGAAGTTCTCTGAGTCTTCAAATGATGTTCTCAGGGCCTACTTGTCTGGGCTGACCCTCCTATCTGCCTGGTCCCCTCTTCTAGATGGAAGTGAGAACCATTAGAAACAAGCTTCTTCCTGGTCTGCTCAGGCCATACTTCCCCAAGTCCCAGGCTTCCTTGGGGTGCTAGGAGAGCAGGGGAAGAAGGGTGGGAGGCCACGGTTTTGAGGCCCACCTACTTGCTATATGTTTCAATGCTGCTATGCAGTAAAGGCAGAGGCATATACTTTCCCTGTGCCCTGTGCTTTCTGCTCTGACTTCATGGCTCTGTTGAAGTCTACTTGCAAATTTTCTGGTCATTGCTTCAGTCGATGGCAATCGCCTTTCTGAATATCCCTCTATGTTCCCATTACTCTATGGATCTCATCACCCTGCTCACTTAATGACTATGTTGATTATTCATGTCTATACCTCTGCATCCACGTTATGCGCCTTGTGTGAAACTGGTACTCTCCGAATGCTGAGAAGATGAGCAAGCACATGTTTATAACGATGCAGGGAGGGGAGAGTGAGAAGGCTCAGCTGGGAAGAGCACTTGCTTGGCAAGCCTGGTGACCTGGATTTTACCCCTGGAGACCCAGGGTGGATGAATCCAAAAGTTGTCCTCTGACCTCCACATTTGACACATACACACAGATTGACCAATCAATCAACCAACCAATCAATAGACTTTACAATTCAGCCAGTCACCTAGCCAACATTTGGTTCTACCCTCGGGGTCATATTGAATTACATGTATACATGTATGTATATTTCTGTTTTCTTTCAGGGACTCTGATTGTTTTGAAACATCCCTATCCAAGAAAAGTAGAAGAGCCATCCATTTATGAATCAGTCCGGGTGCACACAGCAATGCAGACAGGAAGAACAGAAAATGACCTTGTGCCCACTGCACCTTCTGTAAGTGCCCCCATGCTTTTCCCTGAATGCCATCAAATGTGGCAAGAGCTAAAGGTCATGAGCTCATATGAACCTTCCAGCTTGGAGCCAACCAAGTGGCATGTGCTTGTAAAGCCAGCTCTTGGAACTCTGAACTTGAGAGTTGCTACGAGTTCAACCCTGAGCTAAACAGAGGGTTTCTTGTCAGCCAGAGCTGTCTTCTGGCACCCTCTCCTGTCTTGAAAAGCAAGCAAACAAAGAAACAACAAAACAGTGTATTCTAGATGGAGCATAAAACTTGGAAAGTAATATTCATATTTGAAGGCTATAATTTAGTTCATCTGGTTCAAGGAAAATTAAAGACAAAACAAAAAAAAGGACCTACAAATGCTTTAGTTGAGGATAGCTCAGTGTTTCAGTGCTGGCGTGGTGCTGTGAGGTCCTAGGTTCCATCACCAGTTGGACGGACACACACACACACACACACACACACACACACACACACACACAGGGGTGGGGGCATGCCTTAGTGAAAGGATTTGAAAACTTGGAAAACATCACTGGAAAGTCTCTCCTTATATAGCCAATCAGGTTCATGGTGGAGTAGAGGAGAGCGAACTAAGCAGTCGTTCTTTGACAAGCTGCTTAAGAGTTAGAAAAACAATTTCCTGTGCATTTCAACTGTCCATGGGAGGAAAAAAAGCCTTCTCCAGTTTCACCATAAAACTTGGGGTGCAACTGGGCATAGTGGTGCACACCTTTAATCCCAGCACTTGGAAGGCACAGGCAGGCTGATTCTGAGTTCAAGGCCAGTCTGCTCTTCAGAGTGAGTTCCAGGAAGGCAGGGATTATATAGAGAAGCCCTGTCTTGAAATACCAACGGGAAAAAAAAATACCTTGGGGTACTATTTTCCTAACTGGTACCCACAGAGAGGAAGTATTCATACATCTTTGCAGCATGAGCCCCCTTTTGTATGAGTGTTTCAGAAGTGCTCATGTCTGTAGGTTCCTCCTATACCCCCTCCATTCCCTATTCTCAAAGTTTACTCGACGTCTCTTCCTAGCAAGCTGAATACTTCCAGTAGGAGGACTCTCAATTTTTTTCAGATGATAAAAATGGCAATGCCCAAATAAAACACCAAGAATCAGTTCCACTCCTGAAAAACAGTCACTTGCAATTAGTTATCTCCCAACCACATTAAAACAAATGAGGTCTCCCTATCCCCGAAGTGATATTTCTTTTTCCATTCCGATACCAAAGAAGGCTTCCTTGTTATATACCACACTGGGTGTGATGGTGTGATCTGATAATTCCAACACCGGGGAGGTTAACCTTGAGGCTAGCCAAGGCTATGTAGAAAGATGCTGTGCCAATAAAAGAGGAAGAATGGCATTGGCTGGACTGTGACTCAGTGGGTAAGGCACTAGCCACATAAGCTGAGCACCTGGGTTATGATCACCACAGGCCGTGTAAAAAGCAAGACTCAGCAACACACACATTTTTATTCCCCATGAGACGATGGAAGGCAGAGACAGGGCGGCCTCTGGAAGACTCGAGTCCAGCTAGCCTGGTGTGTCTCTAAGGTGAAGATACTCGAGGTTGCACTTTGACCTCCGTAAACATGCTGTAGCACACATATGCAACATATACACAGGGATCATGTTTTTGTAACCCGGATAGTTATTGGTATGCCTTTTTTTTTTTTTTTTTTTTTTTTTTTTTTTACCATTTTCCTTCAACCCCTCAAAAGTTGGTTGAGAAAAACAGTTTTTGTGCATGCCAGGGATGGTGGGGTGGGCTTTGTGAAAGGGTTGGCAAAAGGAAGCATCAGACGTTAGAACTGGAGAAATCCAGGAAAGCAGAGTGGGTGACACATATTCCAGAGTCAGTGGGGACAAGAGACCAGACCAATACTTGCTTTCTGCTCAGTTCTTCTTTTCTATCCAGCCAGTTCCCTTCTTTCCTCTATCCCCATTCTTAGCTCTCTAGCCCATCACAAAACCACCTCTCCTATCAATTGTCTGCTTAACTCCACAATCTCCTCTGCTAGAATTTTGTTACTGAGAAAAAAAATTATGCAATCTATTCTGATCACACTCTCCCCTCCCCCAACTTCTCCCAGATTCTTCCCATCTCCCTACCCACCTAACTCATGCCCTTTTACTCTGTCTTTAAGAAACAAACAAAAACCAAGAAATGTACCTCAAAAACAAAACTCAAAACATACATGCAAAATACCAGTAACACACACACACACACACACACACACACACACACACACACACACACTGCCCCCCAAAAGCAAAATGAGACAAACAGTCTACTAATAGCAGTGAGTTTGCTTTGTGTTGGCCAACTGCTCCCAGGCATTAGGTCTACCCTGAAACATGATTAGCGAACGTAGTGAGATGCCGTCGAAGAAAATGATTTTTGCTTTGTCTGCAGGTTTCAGTTGCAAGTAGTTTCTTGGGCGTTCCCCTCTTGGACTCTGCTAGACTTCTGAAGATTCCTGATCAGTGAAACTCGCATCTCCTACAAGTTTCTTTCATCAGGAGTAGGAATCAGTCAATTTGTAATTTGTAGCTTTGGCCTTAGCAGAGAAGACTAGGACTCTTTAGAGCAAATTATGGAACTCTTACTGCTTTCTGTTTGCTCCCTCCATGTGCCAGATAGATCACCTGCCCAAGTATGTAGACACTGTAACACAGGAGGGAATTTTTAAACAGTGCTTAGTGCTTGGTCAACAAGGAACACACATTATATAACGAGAGACCCGTGAAATTTATTATGTAATGATACCAACCAAAACAATGAAGACTTTTAGTACATCCTGAAACATATCTCATTATTTTGCTTATGGAAGCCTGGACTGACATGGTCGAGGGACAAATTTTGTCCCCTACTGAGCACAAGGACTTTGTTTACTAATTGTTCCAAACAGCCATCTGATGTGGCACGTCTGTCTCCCGGTTGCAAGGTCTGAGATGTCCACACTTCTGTTTTCTTTTTTGAGAATTCAGTTCCTACCTCAGTCTGTGGAGGAAGAACATTATATCACACTTACAGAAGAAGAACTTGCTTGAAGTAAAAATGAAAGTGTCCCCATTTCCCTCAAATGAGGGTGCTTACATAAAATTACTTAATATCCTTTGTCAATTGCATCTAGGGAAATTATTACTTAAGTATTGTGAAAAGCAATGCATTAGGTTCCTGGGGTAAGAGTAAATTTAATGAACTCATTTGTTAAACTGTTTTAAGCCCAGATTTAAGTGCCTTGAGTTTTTCGGTAAACTTGACAAAGGCCCACCCTCATTGAGTTCCTGTTTTAGTGCAGGTCACAGACAAAAGTCAGCATAATATAATATCAAATGGGTTAAGGGAAGGACAGAGCAACCTCTCTGAGCAAGTGACATTGGGACAGAAATGTCATCTCAAGGAAGGTGGAAATGTGTTATGTGCATATATATAAAATTGTCAACAAACAAAATCTTAAAAAAAAAAATAATAAAAGAAGGAACAGTTTACATTCAAGGAGTAACAAGACAGAGTAGACAGAAAAAGTAACACAAAATACCTGAGGCAGGAATTCCATTGAGGGACTTCAAGGACTAACAAGGTCAGCAACGCTTGGAGGCGTGAGCCAGACCAGAGAACCAGTTAGAGTTGCTTCCCAGCTGTAGGAAGGCTGAAGCAAGCTAAATGTCCTGCAGTGCCTGAAGATTCATCACAGCCCAAGTGCCACCTCTCTCCTTCTTGTGCCCTGAAAGTCTCACTATCCAAGGCAGAGAGTCTTTGCTCCGGGTGTTGAGAAAGTTTGAGAGCATTCCTCATTTAAATCTTCACATTTGGAAAGAGGCCCCCTAACTACTAATTGTTCAGTGGACTTGCTGCTAAGTTAGGGGCAAGGAGACCTCTTAGGACACGAACTAGTCACCTTCAAGATGTTGTGCAGGAATGAGAACACGGGAAGATAGACTGAATGTAGTTATATTCCAGGAGACAATGGATTTCAAGTTTCTGAGTAGATTGGCTTGGTGAATCCTTAGCTTCCCTTTCAACAACCCTCTCCTTTTTAAAAAGAAAGTTTCCTTTGCTTCTGTGACATCTTTCTTCTTGGGTGCATCTCACTGCTCCTAGGACCCACCAAGTTTACAGTTTCTCCAATGAGGATGGGTTTGATAACATGAGAGGTATTGCTAGCTTTCTTCACTTAAAATTGCTTTATTGCTTTTGTTATTAATAAAGATTTTAGGAAAGCTACTGGGAACTGAGTAAATATGCATACTCTTTTCCTTGCTAAAATTTGGCATAGCAGTCAGTGTTTATTAGCTTTCTTAACTACAGCTCTGGTTATTGAGAGTGGTGAGCCTCAGACGCTCTTACTTTTTTATGTTTACTGTCTGTCAGGCTGCACTAAGGGGAAGCTCTTCATTTCTCACATTAGCCAGTGTTTTGTGTATTGATGGATTAAGATCCTGACTATCACAGTTTATTTTGAGCTTTCAAAATTGCCTGAAATTTGTCGAGTAAGAGCCTTTTCAAGGTGGCTTCTGTGTCTATTGCCTCTTGACATTTTGATAGCTTTACATTTTGATAGCAAGATGCCCTAGACTTAGCACATGCTGTCCTTGGGCTCATATATAGAACCAACTATTTTTTTTTAAATGCCTTGTTCTTCTTTGTCTTTTAAAGTGGTACTTTATAATCTATATCTGAGCCCCAGATACCTGTTTCGATTGAAATGTTACTTTCCCACCTACTGGGGGATAAGGAAATGATGCATGTGTCTGCATGTGTACCTATGCATTTATGTCTGTGTCTATTTGTCCGTCTGCCCATCCACTCTTCCCTCCATGGATACACAACACTGACTGAAGTCCTTACCAAAACCACAAGGCTCATTCTAGGTTTTTCCTTTTTCATGGTTGGGACACCCTTCTCCCATGGGAGATATATGGATTCCGTTATCTGGAATTTGCGGGTCAACAGAGTGTAAGCAATCTCTATCTACTACACCTGCTGCCCATCCCCCTACCCAAACTTCCTGCCACTCGATGATTAGTTCCAGGCCACTGCCAACCCCTCTCCCTGCAGATGTCTACTTCCCCCGTTTCTCTGTGACTACACCGGTCGCCACCCCCACCCATTTGGAAAGAAGCCCTCACCCCAGCCCGTTTCATCACCCACACAAGCTGCTCCCACAGCTAGCATCAGCATCCACATGAATTCTCCCTGTTCTCTGCGTGGACTCCACCACTCTGTGACCTGGTGCATGAATGTCAGATGACCCAGTCTGCAAAGAGTCTCCCACAGCCCCGGGGAGAGTTTTGAGAGCTAGGTTAAAGACCATTGGCAACCATGTTCCTCATAGAACAGGACAGAGGGCCAGCCTGTGGCTTGGCGTAAAGCGCTTGCCTGGAGGAAGGGTTCACCCCCTAGCACTGCAGGATAAAACAGGACAGGGACACACGGCCATACGTGACAATTCTGGGATTCACCCCAGCCTTTTTCTTTTTCAGCTTGGCACCAAAGAAGGCTACCTCACCAAGCAGGGCGGCCTGGTAAAGGTAAGAGAGCGTGGTTTGCTCATGGCGCCGCAGGAAAGACACCACACCGTAGACTAAAATGTTTTTAAAGGAAAATTATAAGCTTATTTTAAGCCACTTATATTTTCCTGAAAAATGTCTCGCGTTCTCTGGCAGAGCTCTGTGTGAGAGTAACCTGCAGTTCATATTAAAAAGGAAGCATTGTGTTCAGTGCAAAGCTAAGAACAAAGGAGATAAATTAACTCTTGAAAATTTCTGCTCTTTAAAAAAAAAAAAAAAAAAGCCAAACTTTTATACAATGTTCAGTGAAAGTGAGCCAGATGCATCAATGGTGCTTTAAAAGATTATAACAAGCCAAAGTAAACATGGATCAGATCTTTACAGGTCCAGGGCGCCTGACTGCTCCGTCTGCAATTGTCCCTCCATTCCCACGTGCCATGGCCACCATCACTATATCGGCTTCACTCTTGTGAATTGTGCTGGCGCTGGTCTATTTTAGGGGTCTGAGTCCTTACCTCCACCTTCTCCTGTGAACAAGCCGCTTGACTCCTCATGTGGTTGTCCGTGCCCTCACTGGACTGCAAGTTCCCTAAGGATGGGAGACATTCCCACGTGTAGCCTATTTATTAATGTTTGTTTCAGATTCAGATAGGCTTTCACTCGTAGCCTAGGATGGCCTCAAATGTACAGCCCAGGATGTACAGTCTTACTTCTCACTGTTAGAATTACAGCCTTGCACAACCATGCTTGGCCTGAAGGTTTATTCCTGAACCTTCTCTTGTCCCTTTTAAGTGGGTGCATTGCCAGCTGAGACAGGTCAGGGCTTTGTTAGGATTCAGGAAGGAATAGCAACAGCTTTTGCTGTGAATCCATGGCTTTTCAGGTAAGATTTAGAGTGTCATGTGGTTAAAGGTTCCTACACTTCAACTGGCTTATTTGTGAAATAATAGTAATAATGATGATAATAATAATAATGATAGATGGCGTTGTTTAGTTGTATATTTAGCTAAATACACATTATATGCAAATAAAATTTCAAGAGTATACATGAATATATATGTAAATTTCTGGTATGGGGATATAGTTCACAGTATGTTCTCAAAACTGATATCTCTTTGTATTACAGTGTTAATAAAAAAGGAAACTTGAGTGGCTTGTTATGAATTGCCTTGAATGTTTACAACAGCTGCACCTATTCATTTAAATAAGCTAGTGGTATTTCTACTGTGATCTTAGAACACAGAATCATCTTTTTTTCTTAATAAACTTTTCTCAAAAGTGATACATAAGGATATTTTAGGCTTATTTTATCTAACTTTTATATACTTTTAAAATGAAAACAAACTATCAAGTTTAGATATTACATTCTCTTCTCTAACTTAAAATTTTTTTCCACTCAGACCTGGAAAACAAGATGGTTCACATTGCAAAGGAACGAACTGAAATATTTCAAAGACCAGATGGTGAGAAAGACATTAGCAGTCGGTTCCCCCTTAGATGTCAGCTCTGTAAGGTTCCCGACATCCTCTGAAACAAGAGTCTAGCTCTTTTCAACTTGTATTTGTTTACAATGGGGATGGGGCATACTTGCTACATCGTTTATTTGGACAAGCTGTGGGAGTTGTTTCTCTTTTTCCAAACTGTGGTTCCTAGGAATCTGGGCTCGATTTGACAACAAGCATCTTTACTCACCATACAGCCCCTTGATTCCTAATCTGCTCTGACTCTGTGAAACAGTTTGCCCCCAGAAGCTGCTCTTGGTCAGCACAGCTGTAGCTATCTGGAACACATGGCCCCCTCTGTTTGGGGTAATGGAATTCTTCCCTTGCCATATTTTATTAACTATCCCTACGAAGAAATTTCCCCTTTTATTAAAAGCCTACCCATTGCTCAGGTCCGTTTTATCAGGCCAACTTAAAATGATTCCCTTTCTTTTTTGTATACAAATCCTCTGCAAAAGTAGAAGTTTTTTTTTTTTAAAAAAAGATGGGAGAAAATACAACTCCGTTCCATGTGTTAAAAATCTGTCTCTGTCTGATATAAAACAACAAAAGCAATATTTTTTAAAAATATCTTAAGTTATGTGTGTGAGTATGTGTCTGTCTTTTGGGCGTGCGCACATGAGTATTGGTACCAGGCCAGAGGCACAGAGTCCTTTGGTTCTGGAATTACAGGCAGTTTTGACCTGCCTGGTGGTGGTGGGGGGTGCTGAGAACTGAACACATATCCTCTGCAAGAGGAGGTCAGGTCCTAACCACTGGGCCATCTGTGTGGGCCCAGCAATGTCTTCCCATTGCTTAGTCTGTGAAAGGAAATTGGCAACAGTTGCATACAGCAGAAACCTCCTTAAGGGGTGAACGATGGACACACGTGTGTGTTTGTTCTTTTGACATAGTTTTTTGTTGTTTTGTTTTTTGTATTTTTTTTTCCACAGTCACCGGAACCAATTCGCATCCTGGACCTGACAGAGTGCTCAGCCGTGCAGTTTGATTACTCACAGGAAAGAGTAAACTGTTTCTGGTAAGTTACTCCCAGAAGGAAAGGAAATGTTTCTAAAAGTCTTTTAAGCCAGGAGTGAAAAGCCACCTATCTCAATGTATACATGTCTGGATGGGAGGGACATGGACCTCACATGAGGTTGGCGCATGTTAGTGCCTCCAGATGCAGAGGACACAGTGCCTTGTCTGAAGTGGCTTCAACAAAGGCAGGCTGGCTAGGGTCAGGCTGTGCCCTGCACAGCTAGGACGCGTCAGCAATCCACATCTTAACACAACTTTGCTCCCTTGAGATATTCCTCTCAGTTTTAATCATCATTTCACCGGCCTCAGAGATAGGTGACCTGTATTGTCTGGCTGACAGATTAAGTGTTTTTCTCTGATATAATTGGAATACCATGAAACATTTATGATACAAACAGTGTCTTGATAAAGGAAGGCAAATCTTCTTCCCCACAAGCTTCTATCTGAAAGATTCTCAGACATAGCCAGGCTGGAAGGCATGAACAATTCTCTGTGCACTAAGAAACTTATACCACTTGTCTGCAACATTTCTTTTCCTAAACCAGCTGAAAGTTAGAAAGATCCGGCATCCTGCTCATGTACCTCCTGAAAATAAAGGTAGTGTGTATAGAACTTAATTTCATTATTACATCTGGGAAAGTGAACAATTTACAGTTATCACCCAGCCACAGATACCTTTTTAATACCTGCCATGCGATCTAGCAAAAGTTTGCTTTCCTTGAGTCACAAGAATTTGAGGGGCAGGTACGACAAGATCCCACCCGTGAACCCCGCTATTCTCTTGACTGTCCTTCAGCTGGCTACTTCAGAGCCAAGTGGCTACTTTCAGCCCTCCTGTTATCACAGACATGAAGAAAAATGTATCAACCGTGCCTGACCCTGTGTACCAGGAAAGTCAATGTTTCCCTGGAAACCTTGCCTTGTGAAGCTTCTGCATGACTCATTGGCTGCAACATAAAAGACCATAATGTCATTATAATCATAACTGACTGGCTTAAGCTAAGTAGAATTTATTGCCTGGATTGCAAGAAGAAAGGGAAATTTTGGGGAATTTATAGAGCAACTCATAATGTCTCCCCCAGGGAGCATCAATGGCAGGTTCAGAAACCAGTTTACACTCAGCACTGTGTACACCGTGTCCAATGTCCCAATGTCAGCATCCCTTCATCCCCACCCTACCTTATTACCCACTCATCCACCCACCCACAGGCCTGATAGCTGCAAGATGTGCCACTTGGGCATTACGGTGACAGGATTCTGAATTTCAGCTCACACAGGAGGATCAGGAATTCAAGGTCAACTTCCTTTACATAGTAAGTTCAAGGCCAGCCTAGTATACAGAGAGAAAAAAAAATATATAGTATTTGTGTCTTGATTGTAAGGATAGAAAGAATGACCAAGATATGTTAGGGTTGCCTTTATCACTCAAATAATTTTGACTAACTAATCAGAGGCAGCAAAATGAGGACTTACTATACACCTACCCAATCTTTTGTGCTGAAAGGAAGGTTCATTTTCTTTTTGGCAGAGATTAACTCATGGAAAGAAATAGCAGTAACTCGTGGGTGAAATAGCAAACTGAGGCTTATTGGTCCCCTCTTCCTAATCTTTCTATCTCCTGGTGGAAGAATTACCCTCCTTAAAGCAGCCGGTGCAACTGAGTCCTTTCAGGAAACCCTCATCTGCCTGGCTTGTCCTTTAACCCCCAGACAGGCTCTGGACCGCTGTGGGGCTCAGCTGAGTAGACTTACATTCCACAGAAGACAAGCACAACAAAAGGATGTGGGTGTGTCCTGAACAAACACTTCTTTGAAGTCTCCTGGGAGAATATAAATCTCTCCTGTACTAATACAAACTTAAATCATCCTAGGCATGTCTGCCATTGCTGGCAGGAACTGGTCTATACACCAATTCTTCAAAGTCATCATGATAATTACAGGAGCCCTAATTCTTCTTTCCCTGGAAGGCGCCCAGATTGTTCAACCAGGATATATTCAACTAGCCATACCGACTGTCACACATTCTTTCTTTTGTTTCGTCAGCTTAGTGTTTCCATTCAGGACATTTTATCTCTGTGCAAAGACAGGAGTGGAAGCCGATGAATGGATCAAAATACTGCGATGGAAGTTGGTGAGTTCCAAACGTTCCCCAGATGTCTAGTCTTGATAACTAACATGTTGATGATGTCAAACAGACTCCAATTGTCAGAGCGGGCCCTAGGATCAAAGGGAAGTCTGTTTGCAACTTTGTAGGCTAACCCATGCATGTTTAAGGGGTTGAAAAGAAAGAGGAGCTTGTAAGGAAGGTGGTGGTGTGCTCAGGTCTCAGCCTAGCCTTAGCTGCATCTGCTGGCAGTCTTCCTGTAAGCTGGGTTGGTCAGTCCCATTCTGTCTGGAAGAGAATCGTCCTGGGCAACTGGATCTTTTAAGAACACAACCCTTCTCTGGTGGTTTTCAGAGGTGCTCCCCCAACAGTACATTACCAGCAACTACAAGCCCCAATCTTCCTTTTGATTGGACGGTGTTGGGTCATGCTTTCCCAGAAATATTAGATTGATTCCCAAAGTGTACACATTGTAACAGCCACTCTACAATGTCTGGAAGGAAAATTAAAAACAAAATTAAAACTTGGTAGCGGTATTGGTAATTTATAGCTGCATGACTACTTTACCACTCAACATGTCTTCCTTAGGAGTCAGTATCTCAAGTGACTCAATAGTAAAGGTACCTATGTTCTATTAATAACAGATGCACCTATGTTTTGTTACAGTCAAAAATAAGAAAACAGCTGGACCAAGGAGAGGATACTGTCCGAGCGCGGTCATTCATCTTCAAATAGAACTTTCTTGGCTCAGGGGCAAGGTGGAATGTTCCAGGTGCCCTTATCTGTAGCAGGTTTCAGAGGAAAGGTCATTAAGGAATTTCCTCTAAAAACAAACACCAAGTAGACTGTGGTCAGGAGCTCTACACTGTTTGCTGATTCACGGAAAACAGCTGGTGGGAACGGCCATCTGCTCAAGAATGCAGTAGCAGCCCCCGGCTGGTGAAAACTGCCTACCTTCTACCAGGTGGAGCGGCTCTCAGAACAGTGCCAGATGAAGAAGAGCTTGTTGGCGCTCACAGTGGCTTAGGCTTGTTGACTTTGGTTGCTGGGCGTCCTGCCCCAAATCTTGGGCCAGCATGACTAAGCTTTAGATGTGTTATTAAACAGTAAGGAAACAGCAGTATGCCAAGCCCAGACTGCTCTTTTAGGAAGCAAATTAAGATAATAAACACCAAGGTCTTTCAAAGGAGGGGCTGCTTGTTTTGTTTATATACAAAAACCCCACATAGGGCTGAAGAGATGGCTCGGCCATTAAAAGTACATCTGCTTTTGCAGAGAACCTGAGTTCAATTCCCAGGCCCCACATCAGGTGGCTCACAAAGCCTTCTAACTCCAGCTTCAGAGGGCTCAGAAGCTGATGACCTCCTTGGGGACCGGCACTCAGGCACACACACTCACACATACGCACATAATGCAATAATAATAAATTAATATAGTTTCCAGCTGAATGGTTGTGATGCACGCCTTTGATTCCAGCACTGGGGAAGCAGAGAATCTTTGTGGGTTCAAGGCCAGCCTTCTACAGAGTGAATTCCAGGACAGTCTCCCTACATAGCTACTAAGAAATCCTGTCTCAAAAAACCAAACACAAAAAAGTTCTCAAAACTAAAATGAAAAAATGATGTTCATCCTATTTTATTTTTCCTTCCAAAAGGCTTAGAATAAGGCTGGTGAGATTTACTAAGCATCTTAAAGGCGTTTGCCAAGCAACAGTTGACATGTGGGACTCCTCAAAACTCATAGAAGAATTGGAAGGAACCAACTCCAAAAAGTTGTTCTCTGGCCTCTACATGTGCGTCAGCATGTGTGCCCCACATCATACATACATCGTATGTAATCGATTTTAAAAGCTCACAAGTCCATTGGATCCTTTACTGCTAATGCTGAACTGTGAGAACTAGATAGGGAGAAGTAAATTAATGTGCACTAAAGGGTGAGGATGTTTTAATCAGCACGAAAATGCATTTTGAGGAAGGGTGACAAGCTGTGGGTGACTTTTAGTTTAATGGTTATCATTCCACATGTAATACACGTATAAGCACTAAGTTATCTTCAGCAGCCGTTTCTTCAAATTGATTGAGACTTCCCCATAAAGGCTGTGCTCTGTGTCTTTGCAGCTGTAACAGAGTAACCCTGTGAAGCTCCCCAAGATTATCGAAGGCCACCTTCTGTGACATAGCTGCTGTAAACTGGGGTGTGAGGGTTGAACTGGACCGAGGTGCTGGTGTTCAGGGTCATAGGTTTTAACTCGTACTGTCGTTGTTGATGTGGCTTTTAATGACAGAAGTTAAAGGGACACAAATGGCTGACGAGCCAGCAAGTGATGCAGAGCTGAGGGAACTCTGTTCTTGCAGTAGGAAGAGGCAGTGGTTAGCACTTTCATCAATGTGACAAAGATGCCTGAGCGAACAGGGATAATTGACTTTGCTTCACGGTTCTAGATGTTTCAGCTCACTGTGGTTAGGGTGTGGCGTAACTGTTCATGTCACAGCAGGCAGGAAGCAGAGTAAGGCGGTAACAGGACACAGAGGAGGGAAGAGAGACCCCAGGGACCTGTTCTGAGTGGCATACTTCCAACCAGGGCCCAGCTTCAGCATTCTGCCACATCCCAGGAGTGTGTCCAAATTCTGATCCATTTGGATGAAATGAGTGGACCGGAATGCCTTCAAGGACATACCCACAAGGTATTTCCTGGTATTCCTCAAGCTGCCATCGAGATTCATTCATAGTACTTTGTTAAATATTTGTCTCTGTTGTTTAAACAGCTAAGACACAGAAACTGTTTTTCCAGGAGGGGTTTTGGAGTTGGGTTGTGGATCAGTGGGAAGAATACTTACTTATCTGACTGCAAGGGGAACATTTATTATGTTTGTGTTGTGCAGAATAAACGAAGGTCAAGATAAAATGTATTTGTCAAGTTTGCAAAATAAGGAGTAACAATGGCCCTTCCTTGAGATGTATGGTTTTGTTTCCTTGCAAACCACCTTTCTTTATGTGTTAAATACTCTTTTTTGCCGTCTGTAAAATATGTTTATTTATATCCTTTGGTTCTATTTACTAATAAAAAGCGCATGATTTTGTTGTATATGTCCAATTTTGTTACCATACATTTTTATTGTTTTGAAGTAGAATACGGTAGAAAGGAACAATCAGTAGATACTGTTATGCTAGTGATTGCTTAAAGCAGTTTGTACTGCCTTTTGCCAAGCATGACTTCACTTGCCACCTGGATCGGAGTAACCTGAAGAAACAGCTGAATCATGGGTGGTTGCCCTTAATAACCTTCTGACTGCCACCGGAAACTTCTGTACAATCATGCCTGCCTGCCCACCCACCTTGTGGTGTTAGAGTATAAAATGAGAATACAAACTGGACCCAGGATGGAAGCCGTTCAGGAGCTGTCCTGGCCTTGGTCCGCCTGGGATGCCTCCTCTCTTCTACTCTCATTAATGTGATAACGTTTTCTCCAGAGAGATTCCTGCAGGCTTTTAAAACTTAAATATAACTGATTAAGATCATAAATAGCAATGGTACTTCACAGAAGACTATAGAAGCTTAGGAAATATTCACATTTCTCCAGGGATTTAGTTGAATATGGAGAGGACAATACATACATGCATACATACATACATACATACATACAACATACACACACACACACACACACACACACACGCACATATCATATATAGCAGTCAATACTGCGAAGGGTCTGCAAAGCAATGTAGGAGTGTGTGTGGGTAGGGCATTAGACATCTGTTAGAGAAGCTGACACACACCCCTATTTGCCTAGGACCAGGTCACAAGCTTTATCTGCTTTTTGTCTGTCCAGAAAGAACATCTCCCTGGTGGGGAGTTCTTGGATAGTTCCCCAAATCCAAAATGGCAGAAGGGAGGATGCTATGTGCAGATGGCAGACCAGAGCAGGGGATGTGGGAGAAAAGTGAGTGAGGCGTGTCTAAGTTCCCCTAAGAAAGACACAGCCAGACGCTAGCAATAATTGTCAAAATTCCTGGGAAAATCTTGCTCCACATAATCCTACTAAGATGATAAAATCTTCCCTTGGGTGAGTGAGGACCAGTGCAGTTGGAGAAGCTGTCCCCTGCTTCAGAACCCCCGGGCATCAGAACACTGCTGCGCCCCTCTCTGCCTTTCTACATAGGAGGCATACAGCAGGGCATTAGCCTCCTCCCCTCCCCCGTTCTGATGAATGAGCCTGCTCAGAAGAGAGAGCATGAAGACTGTGGTGGAGGACACAAGACCCTACTTCCCCTTCTTCTACACTTCAGCCTGTCACTAATCTCTTCCTCACCAAAGAAATCATACAGTGCAGGGACTTGAGCCATGGCTTCAAGCTGTGTAGCCAGGGCTTCAAGTAGAGTTGCTTCGCCACCTGTGCTGGAGGACCAGTTTTACTTTCTAAAACATTTTCTGACCTATCAAAGGCAGGGATTCTATAAGTCATTAAAAATGATTTAAGGGGACTGGAGGAAGAACCAGAAAGATTTCTAGCATCCACATCGGAGAACTCACAACCATCTGTAACTCCAATGCCTCTTCTGGCCTCTACAAGCAACCCTACACATACCTACCCCATCACCACACACATACACATAAATAATAAACTAAAATTACATATATTACATGTAATATATAAGTGAAATTATAAATCTCATTTTAAAGATCAGATTTAGCAGACAGCAAATTAGTGTAGTCTACCCCCCCCCGCCCCCAACCAAGTGCTTGGGAAGAGGCAAGGAGTTAAGCACCAATCTCTGTATTTTCCACCAGTACAGAACAGCTTGGGCCACATTCTGAGTAGCGCAAGTACAGCTGCTGTTGGGCAAGAGGGAGAGACCACTTGGGAAGGAATCTACGTGAGGTTGGCAGGCTTTGGGGTGTAAAGTTTAGTTAACAAAGTATGAGCAGGACTCATCCAATCAGCTGGAAGATCTCTACAGCAAGAGGGAAAACCCTGAGTGGAGATGGTCTCCATCTCTGGGCATTCTCCACTTTTGCTTCCCAGTTTCTCGCCCAGATCCTTTATAATGAATACACATACATATGTGTATGCTCTGGTTGAGAACTGATACAGCTTTCTCCCCAAATACCTCACTTTGTTTTGTTACTTGAAGCATTTTAAAGTTTTTACTTATTGTGCGTGTGGCCAATCTGGGTTCGGTCCCTAGACTTCCATGGGAGAGAACTGACTCCCCAGGTATCCTTTGACCACTTATACATGTACATGCATGTGTGCATACACACACAACACTGGATAGATAGAATTTTAAAAGTTATTCTAGCTTTATGTTACCTTTACAAAGGAATATTTAGCAATCCCCACCTGCATGATTTTACAAACGATGAATAATGTATCCCGTACATTCCCTGAGACAGAAACCCAACAGTAGCATTCAGTTAATAATCCAAGGACAGCACCAGCACTTACTCCATGAGGAAAGCCTGGACCAGAATGGTTGATCCACTCCTGAACCTCTTAGGCGTATGAAGCAGGTATAACCTCCTTCCTGGTGATTAGGCCAGGCTCATGGAAGAGGTTTCCTTGACAGTTTCTATTAGGTAAAACAATCTCCAACACAATCCCTGCAAGCAGCACTCACGGCCTACTCTTACAACTGAAGGACAGGATTAATTACATCCATTGCAGTTTTGAAAGTCTGAAAAAAAGAGACCTGTACAAAGCTCATTCTGTATTTTTAAAAATACTATTTTATTTGTATTTGTGTATGAAAATGGCTATACTGTCATTTTATATACATACTGATATGGGAAACAGAATTCAGTAACACGGCATTTCCAATGTATAGAGAACACAATTGTGGAAGCACTGTTACAGAAAGTAGAAGAGAAACCATGAGCAGTGATTTTCTTTCTCACTGAAGAGCAGCACCCTCGAAGATCAAATCCACCGGTAATACTCATCTACACTGAGACCACATACAGAGCAAAGTTAGTGATTGTACTTATGTATTATTTGTACTAAGCCATTCATCTTCCTCACACTCAATGCAAAGAAATAAAATATAATCTTAAGAAAAATATGTCCTCATTATTATTCTTAGGAAAAGAGTCTCTGTGGCTTGTGGAGCGGGAGCACTGTGCAGCAGGTGCGGGGAGCACCGTGCAGCAGGTGCGCTTGCTGGCCCCCAGAGCGTCAGTGTACCGTTCAGATCCCGATGTGCTGGATGGAATACTATCCACTATCAGGCATCCACACTAACTCCATGGGAGCTGCACTAGAATGAACCATTTTTGTGGGGTTCCCAGATCTCACTAAGTAAGAGAAGACTTTATACACATAAATACAACAATTGATCTGTCTATAAATTATAGCTATAGGCTCTTCTTTAGTTTAAGGTGGAAAAGCGGCCTCTGAATAGATAGATAAAGTATTACTGTGGTCTACAGATTGCTGACTGCTACAGTGTTGTTGCAATGAAGACATAGCACGTATCAAAACCACCGTTAGACTAAGACACTTCCACAACTTTTATCAGCTCTTCGAATAACGGAGCCAGGTCCTTTTCTAGGCTGACAATTAGTCCTAAAAGAGATTTAAGAAATTAGAATGTTAGAAAAATTTTCGTATGAACGCTGAGCTAAAAGCCAACCCTTTCTCCTCCTGTTCCTGTTGCTTTTGTCAGAGTATTTCACTAGGCGACAGAAAAGAAGGGACTATCTCTAAAGTCTCAGTCAAACTCAATTTTCTTACAAGTATCCAAAATCTTAAAGCTGTAATTTAACTGATGGGTCTATAGAATTAAGTCATTTTTAGCATTTAATATGTGTTCTGTTCAGTTTGTATTTTGTAACCCTTCGTTTCTGTAGGTTGTTTTAATGTGAGTATAACAGCACAAGATGTAACACTGAACTAGCTTCTACTGCAAAAACACCCAATCTCTTGACCACCTCTTTGCATATGGAAACGACCCTGTAAGATGGAGAAGGTCCTGTTATGTGGATATGGGAACTAGGAATCAAGTTACGAGAAAGTGGGGCTGAGCCACAAGTGCAGACTTCCCTCACTCCAAGGCTGTCATTCCTGATCGATCATGCTGCACATGTGACAAGCACAGTACTGTAAAGAGGTAAAACACACACTTGTGGGACTTCTAACATACCTGTGTTGGCGTTACTGCTGGCTATGAAACTCACGACCAGAGGCAAACGATTGAATTGAACCACCTGCAAGGAAAATAAGTTCTAAGTAGTTATGTTGCATGGTGAAAACACAGTTATGATTAGGCTGGAACAACAAATTTAAACAGGTCTTTTCAAGGAAGGTCTTTTACCATCACAACATAGGGACTGTGTTGAGAACTCACAGCTGTGTAAGTTAATGGCACCATCTACTGGGGTTCACAGCACACATCTACTAGAGAACACATCTACTGGGGTTCACGGCACACATCTACTAGAATACACATCTACTTCAGTGACCTAATACAGCATACTTCATAGGATAAGAAGCTCTTAGCTCTTTATTTTTAAAGTTTTAGTATTTTCCCACAATAACTATTTCCTGATATAAAAATATCAAAAAAGACTAGTTTTAACGTAAGTACTTTGAAGACCAATTTTTCTTAAATTCTGTCCTTCTCATGCTAAAATTTAGACTTATACCAAAAAAACAGTTTGTAAAAAGATATAAAAATGATAGGTGAAGTCAGCGAAGTATTTGGTAGCTGCATATTGACTATACCAACCTGGTAGGTATTATAGTAACAGATGATACTTTTGTTTTTTGAAAGTCCGAGTTTGCTGCCTTGGTCTGTTGCGAGGGCAAAGGTGGATAAGAAGCCAGGCCTCAGGGCGTGCTCTGGAGCACTGTCGTTGGCCACTGAGGAATGAGAAATAAATAAAATTATACAGAGTAGGAGGAAGAGTTTAACAGTAATGTTCCAAAAAGCATAAACCCATAAAACCCTAGGCACAAAGGTGCATTCACAGTGTTGAAACCCTTCTACTACTACCTGGGTCTCATCAATTCAGGTGGGAAAAATTACTTAGTTGGAAGTTCAGTGTTCATAACTCAGATATACTGATTTATATGTAATAAAATGAATATTCTGGTCATCTAATAACACACTAGAATAGAATGGAAAAAGCTACACAAATCATTTGCTCTCATAAAGTCCCCAGAACCAGTGTGTCTCATACTAGCTTACAGCCCCATAGCTGCCTGCTTCATCATCCTGTCAATCATTCAAGGCTGGATTAGAGTTAGCTGCATTGGTCAAGTATGGAGTTTTCTGTGTTTCACAGAATCTGTGAAAGAACATTAGTGCTGGAGAATCATAGAGGCAAGAACAGACAGCTGAACTTCCCATAGCCACCCACACTGTGCGATGGGCAAGCCATCAATAATGAACTCTCTCGTGTCTTTCACCAATTCAATGCGCAGCTGTGGACAGGCAGGGTTCTCTCTGCACTTGATCATGCTAATGTATAAAATAGAAGAATTAACCCAGGTGACCTCTAAGGAATTTTTTAGTCCTAATGTCTAAGATTACCTGATCTGTTTGTCCTGATGTGGAAAAGAAATTGTAAAAACTATGCATAAGATATTGTTTAATATTTGCTAAGTAAAACTAGCAAGATCCACTTTGATCATGCCAGAAGATACAAACAGTAAACAATCTGAGTTCACACTAACTCTGTTACAGCAAATACATGTTAATTTATAGGAAAAAAAAAAGGTGAGAATCAGCCAAAATCATATTGGGTGGATTAGGGGGTTGTAGTGAAGATGATGGAAACATACTGTATACTTGCATGAATTCTTATGAAAAATTGGGCCTGTGGTATGCATGCAAAGATTCCAGATGTTCCAACTGACATGTAACCCACTACCCCACTATAGTTCCACCCAGCCTCCAACAGACGAAAGTACGTACTCCCTCAGAAAACTAACAGTCTTTCCCATTTGGTGAAATAAGCTTTATATAGTTTTAATTATTTAAATATTAGACTTGTTTGTCCAAAGTAAACACACCATATGCACAAAGTACTCCGTTTTACCTTTAATAACAGGCACCCCGTCTCTATCTGATACAACAATTGCATGGAGCCCTTCAACGCTACAAGAAAACAAAGTTCAGCATTACAAAATCAGTTTGAATTCTACATGTACCTCAGATTCATGATGGTATTCTCAAGTGTGTGTATGTGAGAGAGAGAAAGGGAGGGAGGGAGGGAGGGAGAGAGGTGCACAGAGAGGGAGGGTAAGGAGAGAGAAAGCATGATACAGTGTACATACATGTGAGGTAAGGCCACTGTCAGCTCCTAGGGATCCACCATTTCACTATAGGAGCGCTGACTTCAGGCAAACTTGGGTCCTTACTCTTGCATGTGAAGTCTTTACCCACTGAGCCGTATATTCTCATTAATTTTTTTTTTTAAATCAGTGTGTCTACTTGGATATATTCCACACGAATGAAGGTGCTTTCCAAAGCCAGAAGACAACATCAAGGTCCCTGGAACTGGAGTTACAGCTGACATGCATGTAACTGGAGTTAAGTTCCCGTGGTGGGACCTTAACCAGTCTCTGTCTTCTGCAAGAACAGCAAGCGCTCTTAATTACTGAACTTAATTACTCCAGCCCCTCAAAGTTATATTCTTCAGTGAAAAAGAAACTCCAGTTTTCAAAATTATAACTTAAGCAACACATTGCATAACAAAATGTGTAAGCAAGCCTCATGTGTGTTGTGTATTACACACACAAGTGTACATTTGTATCTGTGTCTGTGTGTGAGTACACAGATACCTGTCACCAGATGCTTCTAGCAGCAGAACTACACGACTGAACAACAGGCAGGAGAAGCTTCTGAATCTTGAATTTTATAAATACACTGTCTACTCAAAAATCATCATCAAAAAAAAAAAAAAAAAAAAAAAAAAGACAGATGCTCAGGGCTGCAGAGATGTCTCAGCTGCTCTTCCAGAAGACCCGGGTTTAATTCCCAGCACCCAAGTCTCAGCTCACAACAGCTGTTTGTACCTCCTGTTCTAGAGGATCCAGCACCCTCACACTGACATACATTCAGGTAAGACATGAACATGCATAAAATAAAAATAAATAAATCATTTTTTAAAAGATAGATGCTCAATATATTACTTAGAAAAATCTGTACACCACAAGATTTCCTAACTTCCACAGTAATTAATTTACATAGAAACTAATGCACCAAAAGAGGAGGTAAAGAAGTAGGGTGTCCTTTTTACTGCCTTATCTGAAGGCCAATGAAAGGGACACACGCCCTGAAATGACCCCACAAAAACAAACAAACAAACAAACAAACCTTAAGTTTCTTTTGCTTTTTAGCTGCAGTAGCAAACAGTTTCATTTAGTGTGTGCGCAGCAATGTGGTCAGAAGACAATGTGCAGGGGTCAGCTCTATACTTCCACTATGCATGTCGCACCACCCACATCATGCTTTACAGCAAGTGCCTCCTTTACCTGCTGAGCCATCTAACGTCCTTGTTCTTTTGGGACAGATAAGACAGAATCTCCACCTGTCACCCTCCAAATGCTGGGATTACACGCCTATCCATCATGCCCAGCTCACTTGCACAATGTTTTTACTGTTTTAGGATACTAAGCAGACACTAGTTAGTGGATTCGTCTGTGTGATGGTTAGATTTTTGTCAGGTTGGTATAAGCTAGGGAGATCTGGGAAGCGGGAACCTCAGTTGAGAGCATGCCTCCTCCATTGGACTGGCCTGTAGGTAAGTGCAGGGGCATTTTCTTGACTGAGCTGATAAGGGCGGTGATCCTGAGTTGTATAAAAAAGCCCACTGAGCTAGTTCTGGGCAGGCAAATCAAAAAGCAGCAGCTCCCCTGTGGCTTCTGCTTCAGCTCCTGCCCTTTCTTCCTGTGATCCTCTTAGTCCGTGTTTTATCACAGCAATGGAAAGCAATTGAGGACAGTCTGCATGCCCAAAAAGTATTTGTAAGCAACAGTGGTAAAGTTTTAATGTTTGAAAAGAGATAAGGTCACAAAGCAACGATTATTCCCTCCACTATTCACTAAAGTTCCCCTCCATGGTTTTAGCCTATGCCATGGTTTCTGTTGTCATGTGTTAGCATGCAAAGCTATAGCTGCCGTCTTGCTGGCCATGTGTGAAAAATAACCAGCAGCTATAATTTGCCATTTTATTCAGAGGAAGAGAATTAAAATTAGATTAACGATTTCCCATCATTTTATTCAACACTCCAATAGTGTTTTCTTCATGAAGACATTAAGAAAAACACATGTAAGTCAACACCAGAACACAGTCATTAATCTCCACTGATCTACAACCAGAGTAAAAGCATAAGACAATATATGAACACATCCAACAGTTCAAACAAGTGTCAAAACAACCGTTCATTTTGCCAGCCCACTGAGATAAACTGATATCCAGACACAACCACTCATAACCCTACACTGAGGAGACAGGAAACGGTGTCCTAGGCTATTCCCCTGACTATCTCAAAGGTTGTTCAATCCAGTCTGATTGCTTTGTTCTGGAACGTGAAAACACAACACTCAAGTCATTGTCCCCCTCCCTCCTCTCATCCTGGACCATCACAGACTTTGAGTTATTTGTGAACAGTTGTGAATGTAGACAAGATAGGCACTGTCAACAAACACCTCTCTCTGTCTCTCTCTCTCTCTCCCTCTCTCTCCCTCTCTCCATTAAACTAAGATGAGTTTTAATGAATTCAAGTGAGAAAGTCCTCTGGATCAGTAAACTACGTACAAAGAAGTTTGTAACATTAACGCCTGAGCCTTTGTAAAACGGCATCCAAAGCACAGTGTGGACGCAAAGGTGGGCTGAGGTTTTAAGTATGAACCCTTGTCTGAGCCTTGTATTCTTGGATGATGTTGACTCAGCAATGAGGTCCCAATAATAACACTAAAAATAATGGCAAGTTCTTAATTTACTTCCTTAAATTTACTCAACAACTTAAACTACAATCCAATAAACAAGTGTGGTAGTGTACTTTAAAAATTTGAAAGTGGCAAGAAACCTAAGTTCTGGGCTTCAGCACCTGTTTCCTATTGAATATAAAATGTCATGAGACAGCTCTGGCTTTATACTATCTATCTACAAACTCAAGTCATTACCTATGACACTTGGGGTTAATTATAAATTTAAATGCGGGACATAATTACCATGACACATATAAAATACATATACAAAGGTGGAAAAAAATCCTCATAAAATTCATGTTACAATGAATTAATTCAGCAACAAATTAGTAATTTCTTACCTTGGCAATTTTTTGTACAGGAATCGCTTTAGATCCTGAAAGAGAATAATTTTTGTTTTGTTTCGTATTTCGAGACAAGGTTTCTCTGTATTGCTTTGAAGCCTGTCCTGGAACTACCTCTGTAGACCAGGCTAGCCTCGAACTCACAGAGATCCGCCTGCCTCTGCCTCCTGAGTGCTGGGATCAAAGGTGTGTGCCACCAATGCCCAGAGAGAATAATTTTTAAAAATCATATTATAGTATGCTTTTTTTAGCTCTGTCCATATGCCCCTTTAAAGGACATGAAGTCACCATTTTAACTGTTGTCTCATCTTGTATAACTTGGAAGAAGTTAACTAACCTCTTTTCTAGGCCTCAGTTTCATTACATGTAACAGAGATAATCGCAGATCCTACATCCTAAGAATGCTGCACAATTTTAGCAAGGTGTGTGTGTAAAGATTAGTAAGGTTTGTGTACCTGGGGTAGGGAAACACAAATACACATTTGCTGTGAAATGAAATAATGTGTCTTACAGTAATTTACATCCTGATAATACTGTATTCATTTGGGAACAGTCTATGAACCTCTTCTCATGTCCATACAGACTTCCCACAACCATTTTGAATGGGCCTAAGTCAGTTAAGCTACTCTGATATTCAGTCTCTTGACCAAACGTAATGACGTTGTGATGTATTCAACATGCAACGTGGTTCAGACCTAGAGAACAGAAGGCGATCTTGTCCCATGACAACTCATCTGGAAACACTGACAGTTCAGGTATCACTCACTTATGAGCCCCACCCTAAAGGAGGGCTGTTTTGAACATTTATCTCAAACATGAATACGTATCTTATCACATGTCACCACCACGAACTTACTGATGCTCTCGTCTTAGACAGACAGACACCCAAAATCGGAACATGGGTTGCAAAAGGCGCACCCGTTAGAAATTCTTAGATTGTAACAATGGACCTAAGGAGACATCCTGAGCACTTAGTGTGAAAGGGCCAGAGCACCGTCCCGCGGAACAGTCATCCTGTAGAATTTCAAATGTTAACTAAGAGTTCTTGTGTGCCCAATAGGATCGGGAGGAATAGGAACTCAGCACCCTGCAAATCCACTCTCATATTAGTCCCCTGCAGCAGATCCGGGAAGAGGGGGCACGGCTAAGGGAAACAAGCTTCTAGCTCTCCCCACTCTGGCCCCACGCAATCCCCCCCACCTCGCCTTTCTATTGGGAAGGGGTGTCAACTCACATCCGCCATGATGAACCCCTTCCTCTCGCAGGATCAATCTGCACGCCTGGAAGAGAAACTTCCGTGACCCTCGCCGCATCCCGGGCTTTTCACCCTCCCCAGACCCAGCATCACGAGATCCACCCTCGCCAGGGCCGGGCGAGACGCCGTAGTTGTGGGTCTCCGTCGTGGGAGGGAGGTGGCCAGCCCCGACGTCCCGCCTGCGCCCACCCCCACCCTGTCCCCGCGCCCAGAGAAGGGGCGACCTCTGCAGACCCGCGCGCGCTGCAGCCTGGGGCGACCTGCCCGGGTGTCCCCGCAGTTCGCTCGCCTCTCTCCAGCCGCCTGTCAAGCCGCTGTCACATGACTCGTGACCTCCGCCGTGCTCCAGGAAGAACTTGCTGCACCCTGGGCTCGCGACGATTCGATTCGGAAGTTCCGGGGAGGCCTGGCGGGGACTGCGCCTGCGCGTGGCGCCGAGCGCTGGCACCTGAGGTCCCCGCACCCTAATTCCTCCCCCCCCCCCAGCACCCCTGCAGCGGGAGACGTCCCTGTGCCGAGTGTGCACACGCTTTTCCCAGAGCCATTGTCTCAAGTCTTTTCGTATGAACGAAGACGTTTGAGGAGCACGAACTGAACAGCCTACCTGTTAGAAGCCCCAGGTCCCTAGATGACCCATTTTCTTTGTCTCGCCGTTGCCTTTATGCTCGTCCCCTGAGTTTTTACCCAGAGTCAATGCAGGAGCCGTGGGCGGGGGGCTCATGTTTGTCAAGTCTGTTTTAAACTGGGCTGCCCCTTTAGCTCTGGATCTGCTTTGGTTGTGTCTTCTTCTAAAAACTCTACCTTTTGTTTGGTGTTTGCACATTCATACTGGAAGGGGAATGCTAGCAAAAAAGGACTCCCCAATCGCCTTGGCCCAAATGTTTCTCACTATTGACGCTTTGCGGAAAAGTCAGCTTAGTGGACTCCTGTAAAAATGCAGAGACGAACAGAAATCCACCTGGGATAAAAGTCATGGCCCAGTAGGCCAACTGTCTGATCTTGGGAAAAGTGAAGTTGATGGCTTTTGAGGCATATTTCCTCTTACCTCATGTGTTCGTGACAGTAGCGCGCCTTGAAAAGATGTATGGGAATACATTCCTAATCTTACTTTCCAGTCCCTAAAAGGAGGGGCGCAAACACGGGAAGATGTGGAAATGTCGTATATGCCTTACCTCCAGTTGTCTGTGAGGATGGCACTGTTAACTACTCAGCGGAACAAATGACCCGTCATTTCAGGTGTGGCATGAGGAATTGAGAGGGCCATTCTTAAAACCCACTCCCTCTTTTCATTAGTAAGACACTTCAATTTAAAAAGTATTGTTTCGGGATAGGCTCTCACTGTACATCTGGCTGGTCTAGAATTTGCTATGTCCAAGCTGGCCTCCACCTCACAGAAATCTACCTGCCTTTGTCTCTTGAGTGCTGAGTCTAAAGGGCTGGCCCAATTTCTTTACTGCATAGCATGATTCAGATCCCCATTCTCTGTGGTCTCCTAAGACAGAATTTATTATTAGTTGTTGTTATTGTTGTTTTGCAGTTCTACTACTTCCACAATGAATTCATTCTGAATCTACACTTTCCAACTGTGTTCTATCTTCATTTTCTCTTACTTACTGAAAGTTGAAATTTTTCTTTCCCATCTCACTCTCTGCTCCAACCCAGTGAGCGTTTGTCCTTACGGTTGTATGGAATCATGCCTCTCTAAGTCAGTGCTCATATTTGTTGACCTCTTTCCTCTTGCTGTTTTCTCTAACAGTGACTTTTGCACATACATCTTTCAGCTCTTGATTGAAGCCCTCATTTCTGTTCAGTGACAACATCCACCCATGTCAGCCAGCTTATTCTTAGTCTAATAGTCAGCTTTGACTCAGTTTAGACGTTCCTTTTCATGACTGATTGGTTCCACTATTTGGTATTAGCATACCAAGATGTGGGATGTTGGGAGACAAATGATCAAGGTTTTACCATCTAAACCATTGGGAGATACTTAAGATCCAAGCTACACCACCACTTAATAATAGCAAACAATACTGCTAAAATTGTACATATTACTAGCTGCTCAACAAGTTGTTAGGAATATATCACTGCGAGCCTTCAAATAGCAACTAAAATTATACTCTAAAAACTCAAATCTAAGCTTTTGGACAACTGACTTGAGGTGTAATATCATCGTCATGACTTGTGTATCATCTTCTGAAGATTAGGACCCTATCTTTAGTCTCTCACCTACTTGGGAATTCTTACACTAAATCATCATTATTTTCATTTCCATACAGTTTTGTTTTGTTTCTGACAGTATTTCTCTATGTAACAGCCCTGGCTGTTCTGGATCTCACTCTGTAGACCAGGCTGACCTCAAGCTCACAGAGATCTGCCTGCCTCTGCCTTCCAAGTGCTGGGATTAAAGGCATACGCCACCACTGCCTGGTTCCATAAGTTTTAATGCTTTTATTCTTTGAGAGCCTTATACAGTGTATTTTGATATTCCCCCCCACCCCAGCTCCTCTGCTCCAAGTCCTCCTACGTCCACCCCCAAGACTGTACCCCCCAAACTTTGTGTCCTTCCCCCCCCCCCAATATTCCATCAAGTCCAGCTTGTGCTGTTCATGTGCTCCCAGGCCTGTGGAACTGTCCAACACACCAGGGGCCACCGTTAAGGGAAAGTGACACACTCTCTCAGAAGCCAGCGGCTGTCCATAGCTGCATAGTTATGAACTGAGGGGCCCTTGACCCCTCCCCACGCCATGCTAGAAAGCTGACTGGCTTGATCTTGTGCAAGCAATCTCAGCTGCTGTGGATCCTAACAGTTTCCTGATAACATCAGTTGGCACACACTGTGTGAAGGTTTTCTCTAGGATTTTACCTTACTCTGTCTTCATCTTTGGGGTTTCAGCTTAAGTTTACTTTCTCGGGGAAATCTTCCTTGACCTTTCTGGAATAGTTTAGGTGCCCTAGATAAATGTTCTCACTGTACTCTGTGACCCTCTCACACTGTATCAAAATTAAAACTAGATTCATCTCTTTGATTAAATTTACACTTAGAGCTTTGTCTTGATCAGTTAATATTCCCTGGCCTTAGCTGTGATACAGCAGAGATTCATACGTTTATTGAATGGTTCAATGAATTAAAGAATGAAGAGCATAACATAAGCCAGGTGGCGATGGCACACACCTTTAATCCCAGCACTCAGGAGACAGAGGAAGGCAGATCTCTGAGAGTTTGAGGCCAGCCTGGTCTCCAGAGCCAGGGAGTTCCAGGGCAGCAACAGGTACAGAGTGAGACTCTGTCTCAAAAAACAAAAGGATAAAATATAATGAAGGCAAGCCTTTCTTTTTATTATGTTGAGATAAATTACAGAGACTGAAAGACAAAAATCCATAAATCATTCATTAGAACATTCATTAAAAATCAAAAGCAGCATGAGAGTTCTCACAGGAAATCTTATATATGTCTGATATAACATTACATTTTTACAAATCAGACCTTTCATTTTTGAACCTAATTATGTGATCTTGAACGAACTACGAAGATCTCATTTACCAATAGCACTTTGTTTTACTAACACAAGGCTTCCATTAAAATCGCACCAGACCTTGAAAATCTATATCACACCTTGGAAATTACCCGCAGCTTAAAAAACAAAATAAAACAAAACTTTAAATGGAAAGTCTCACATAGCAATCTAAAGACCAGAAATGAAGCACTTTTTAATATAAATAAATTACAAATACCAATTGTTTCTTTCTTACTGTAGTCATCCAACTCAAAAACAATTTATTTCGAAGGTAATGATGAAAATGCTAGTGTCAGTCAAAAGTCCCTTCCAGTGTTAACGGTGCCATTGAAAAGCTAAGTGGAGTCTGATGACGAGACGGCAGACTTGCCACTCTTGCATCCGATGTCTGTTGCCTCTACACAGTTATTAGGCATCTCAGCAACCAGTCACCCCAAGTTTTAATAACCTATTAATGCAGGTCATTTCAAGAACCATGTCTGGGTTACCACTCGGTAAGATACAGTTTTACTCGACACATGAGCCTTATAATAGGAATCTTCATTAGAACATGGAAATCAACTGAACGACTTCACGCCAGTGAAATTCTGTTGACTGATGGTCAGAGTTTTAAATAGTAATACCCACTGTTAATGGAAGCCCTGCTCTGTGCAAACAGTATGGTAGTTATTAAACAATCACACATCTGAGGTATTAGCTGGAAAATATATACATTTATATATATGTATATATATAATATATATACACTTATACATGGACGCATCCACAGAATATTCACAAATCTATTGGCCCCTACACCAGCAGAAAATCAAATTAGTTGAAAAAGAATCAAGTAATAGGAAAAAGTTACACAGGGGGGAATTTACAAAAATGTGGTTACATAATCCTTAATATAAGGAGCATGTTTTGAATAATTGCTTTGAGGAAAAAAATGTTTCCATTTATATGAAAATATCTGTCTTATAGAAATAAAACTAAAAGGGGAACCTGGATTCAGGACTACGAAGCCTACCAGATTATTAAAAGTTGTGCAAGAATTGCTTGAACAACCTGGTTCTATCTGCTTTTGTTTTCATTTTTTATTGTATTTGAGACAGCCTTACAAGGTACCCAGGCTATCCTCAAATCCATAGTTTCCCTGCCTCCTAAGTGTTGGGACTACATGTATGTATGAGTTACCCTGCCTGTCTTTGATTTGTAATGGAAAACTGGATTATAGAAAAAAAAAAAGTGGAGGTTATTATCAGGCTATTCTCCTAATTTTCATTGGTTTACAAGAATTTTAATGATTTTACCTACTCTGATATGGCTACCAGACAAGGGTTTTTAGCTTTCTTATGATTAAAATTCAGACTGTTCATTTTCATACATTTTTCTATACAGATAATAAAAATTGATATGGGTTTCCTTTCAGTTTGCCTCACTCAATAAAAAGATGGCTAGCAAACCATCTAAAACCAGGCTCAAGCATCAAGTGGATAAGCTGAGCAAAGACATTCGTCCCTTTTTAAACCATTTGGTCCTTTGTTACAATACTTGCCTAATTGAAAGGATGGTTCATGTGGCCCTCTGGCTTGCCAATAAATATTTCATTGTTTTAAAAGGTGGGAGTTTAAATTACACATCTTAGAAAAAACAGAAACAACTGTATCAATTGTTAACAGTTGCATTTCAAATATTACTAATACAGAGGAGGAGAGTAAAACCTCATTTTAGTTTACACATCAGAGTAAAAGTTAGAAAGATTAAGCACAGTAGTGCATTTGGAGTCACGGGCTATCCTTGCACATTCCTGTTCTTGTGAACACCCGAGCTGACATGAAACAGAGTACTCTGACGCACTGGAGACCGACCGCAAGCGCCTGTGCACACCCCGTGTGTTCTTTACAGACCTTCATTTTCCTTAGCAAAATTATCATTTGAAAATCATAAACATGTGGTGGTTATGAAATGATTGTGCACTCAATGCCATCGGGTCTCAAAATGTTGTTTTCACTTATTAGATGGAAAACTTGAGATTTCTCAGTGTTCATTTAACCTATTTAGTAAAAAAAAAAAATAATAATAATAAAATAAATAAAATCCTAAGACTTCAAGATGACTAAATAAGTAATGTCACTGTACTCAGGAAGAAGGTAATCAAAAGGAGGAAAAGTTTTGTCTTCTTTCCTCCCAAAGAGTGTGTGTGTGAGCATGTGTGCATGCTGCTCTATGTATACAGGGATAAAATGCCAATTACTAGCAACTATAACTACTGTTCCCAAACTTCAAAAGAAAAAGCACCTAGAAACCTAATTAATATGCAAAGGTAAATGCTACTGGGAAAAGATGAAGGTGATCAAATAAAATTAAAACTTATGTAGCTATAAGACAGGAAAGTATTGGGGTTTGTAGCAAACCTCAAAATCTTTCAGCTCAAGCCATATAAGTACAAAGAAAATTAAATTCAAAGCCACTATGTAGTATTTTCCATAACAGAGGCATCATTAAGGATTCAGTTTTCACTTACATACTTTATTTGTAGCATAAGAGACCAGGCACTCAGCCAACCACACCCACAGCTATTTCCAAGTTTGATTTAATCCAACCCATAATATCATAAATGTGATGGGATGCAGCAACAAACCTGAAACAATACTGTCTAAGCCATGTGTGACTCTGCATTGTGTTAGTTTCTCTCCATCTGATTACCTGACCTATCTCCTCTATCCTTTTAAAGGTGGGATCTAAGTAAGTCTGGCTCATGTAAATATCAGTAACAGTAAATATTAATCACATTAATGTAAATTTCCCACTAAAACTGGAAAAATAGCTTAAAAACTTTCATTCAAATTCCCACAAATTTCCTGATAGATTTGAGCCTTCAAAGTTAATTGGAATGCTATATTTTTAAGTGATTTATTTTACAGCCTCAAGAAAATGTTTAAAACTCTATGATGTGTGCTCACTCTCGCAGCACATCTACTGACAGCAGAGCAATACCGAAATCAGCATGGCCCCTGTGCTAGGATGATGCGGAGATTCATGAGGTTCCTATATTTTTTAATCCAATGAAAGGCAAGTAGAAACTAAGAATAAGCACAGTGAACTACTTCAGAGAAAGTGGGAAATGAGACCGGTGTGCGTCAAGACTAGCAAATGTAAAACCACGAGGGCCGCAGGCCGTTTGGAAGTGGAGACAGAACTTTGCAATTGCAGACTTCCATTAAAATAAAAAGGCAACAAACTGCTTGTTAGGTTTTGTGCCCACAGGTGAGAGCTACAGCCAGCTATTGTCAGAGAACCTTGCTTTTATAGTGGGCAGAAGTAGCCTTCGGAGCTCACAGTAATGGGAAGACATGACTATCGAGTACTCAGCGTAGGCAGGACATCTCCATCACCCACTCTGAGGCTCAGAGAGCACTACAGAACAGGGGGTGGGAACCATGCAAGAAGTACTTAGTGACCTGTTGTGGGACACTGTTTTCTGACTGCACCGGTCTCTGTAAGGTTGGGCCAATCCACATCCTGTTGTGAAGGGGGAGGACTCATGAGGCTGCACCCCACCCTGAGCATCTATAGGTAGGTAGTGGTTGATGAGGGAGGGAGGCATTTTCTTCAGGGTTGCAAGCACTGGGAATGAGCCAATTTCTATAAATAACCCCTCATCTATGTACTACATGCAACCATAATGAAAAGTCTTTGGGTCACCATCATCATCATCATCAATAACGACAAAAAGACAGAAGGGAGGAAGAGGATCAGTGGAGTGGGGGGTGGCAAGAGAGGGTCATAAGGAGTGAAGACGACGGAATGCATTATACATGTGTGTATGAAAATGTCACAATGAAACCCAATGTCATATATAATTAATATGTGCTAATAAAACACAGTTCTTGAAAAAGGAAGGGAGAAAATGAAAACATTAAATGAAGTTACCGGGGAGAAAGAGCTATATAAGGAAGAGGCTGAAGTCTCTCTGAGGACCACTACCTTGAAATTAAGCTATAAAACAGAATCTGAGGGCTGGTGTGCTAGCTCAGTGGTAAAATACTTCCTGCACAAGTCTGGGGACTCCAGGTAAAGCCACAGAATTGAACAAGGTATAAAAAGAGAACTAACTCCTGCAAGTTGTTCCCTGATCTCTGCAAGTGCACCTTGGTACACACACACACACACACCATAAACATAAGAATAAATACAATTTATAATAAAACAATTTCAAACAGTGGCAAGAATCACAGGAATGCCCAGAGTCTGACTCAGTCACAAAGCTGGAAGCTGAATGTTCTAAGTTAAAGGCTGTGCTAACAGCAAGGTGGAAAACAGAACAGACTGAGACCATCCGTGCAAATCCGACTGGAGAGGAAAGGGAATGATTACAGAAAGTCACTGAGTTGAAACAATGTATACAACGTGTCATTCTTTATAAATAAAATATAGAGGAAAGAAGACTTAAAAAGTGCACTGGACTTAAACTCTTAAAAGTAAGAGCAAAGGACATACATGAGCAGGAAACTCAAGAAATTAGTTGTCACAGAGCTTTAACAACTAGAGAATTTGAAATGGATACTTCAATGGCTGTGTTAAATATGAGACTCTCCATCTTCATGGGAAATGGAAAACTACAAATTCCTCAGAATGAAAATAAACATTATAGCTAGGTGGTGGTTCACATGCCCTTCATTCCAGCACTCAGGAAGCAGAGACAGGTGGATCTCTGTGAGTTCCAGGCCAGCCTGAGAAACCCTATCTCAGAAAAACAAAAACAAAACAAAAAGCAAAGCAAATCAAAAAATCCCACATTATTACCAGATGCGGGAGTACATGCCATTAATTCCAGCATGGGTGGGGGTGGGGTGCAGACCAATCTCTGAGTTCCAGGCCAGCCTAGTCTATAGTGAGAGTTCCAGCCGGCCAGGGCTACATAGTGAGTCAGAATGAGCAAGCAAGCATCACAAAAGCATCATGGCAGCCTCCTCAAGGAACAGAGGACTCTGGGAAGAGATGCACTATCTCTCATCATCTTGTACCAGAGAACAAGGCCGTCAGGTGACAAAAATGCAAAGAGATTAAAGGAACAATAATGGCTCAATGTAATTCAGAAATCTGCAAACTGAATGCTGAAATGGCAGCTGGAGAAGATTCTAATGAAAGAAACGGAAAACACAAACAACTATGTTTAGAGGCATGCAGTCTTGGAAAACCAGTCACACGAACTAGACAACACAGATTCAGGCTAACTGTCAGACAGGAAGTTTGCTGAAGGAAGCAGACCAGAACTTGGAAGGCTCTGAGAACAAGGCCTAGAGAGTACCCTAGGATTGTGAGGGTGTCACTAGGGTAAAAGCTCAGCCCCAGGCTTATCCCAAGCAAAGAGCAGTGATTCCTACATCAACCCTCGGCCTCTGTGAGAGCAGGAAGAAGATCCTGAGCAAGAGGTGCTCAAAACTGACAAGATACACTGACGAGGCAGAGGCAGCCACTGGGGAATGCAGTCCTTTAAAATCACCCCTCAGAATCTACAAGTCAAGACTCTAAAGTAGAGAGTAACAAAAATATGAATAGATGGCGAGGAAAGGGCTCTTCCTAAAGATGGTGAGATATACACACAGCATTTTCACAGTGTCGCATAAAATGTACTATGTGAAAACTTTAAAATGGACCTTTTCTTTAGAGCACTCCTATTTTTAAAGGTCATGTTTCTAGACATGGTTGGGCTGTCCAGACTCCTAAAACGATGTGTATAATTTAACCCACTATTAAAACCAGGTATTATACTGCAGGATCTGCCAACAGGACACAGGAAACCATTTTAAAGAAAACTCAACAGATGACATAACCAGCAACATTTAGAAAAGAAATCTTAAAGCAAAAGCACAAAGCCACTCTACCTAGCGTTCTAGTTCTTGAGCAAGGGATTGGGGCAAGGGCAATGACAGCAAGCCACCAAAAATGTGTTTGTATTTCTTTAACTGTGTGAAGCAAAACCATTAAGCCATCACTATCATTACATAGAAGACCAGAAATCATTTCAAACCCAACAAGCACCGAAACCTAAAGTCCCAGCTGTGTTTTCCCACCATATATTACAGACTTGGTTACAAGGAGCGTATTCTAACGATCTAAGTGGAACTTAGCTCAGAATGCTCTGATGATGCCTTGCTGTCGATCACTGCCCTAGCTGCTGCTCTATCTCTGCTCACGGCTGTGTGTGACCCAACAGATCAGGTGCTGTCAAGTAAGCCAGCCGCAGTTGGAAGGCACGAAGCTGGGTGTTGGTCATTTTGTTCTTATTTGTAGAAGAATCCATTTGCTTTGGGGGCTTGCTTCAGTTATCTCCATGAAACTGTATTTCCATGGGAAGAAAGTTCATCTTTTCCTTCATAAGCTTCAGTAGCCTTGAAAGACACATAAGTGAACATTTGGGGCTAACTTTTAGTTACCAGAATTGTGAATGGCATAACTGCAACTTACCACTGAAAACTCATTTAGCATAATATTATCATCATATTTTCTTTAAAATCTATCTTATAGCATTTTGTTCCTATGTATGGCTTAGCAATTCATAAAACTAAAGAGCATACTGATAGTATACACCAGTTCATTTACCTCATTACATATTCTGGGATATAAGAACACTATTAAAAATGTCAATTCCTTCTACACTGATAAAAGATTTTACATAAAGTTTTGCTTTTGCTTTTTGAAAAACTTTCATTGTTTAAACTCCACACACCCAAACACCTAATGGAAAATGTGACTGTGTCATAGACATTCATTCCATCAGCCTAAACCAAGTGTCTCATGGAGCTAAACGCTAAAATAATTTAAATAAAAGGCAAGCGCTCATATATACACAAAATCATTCTAAAAATATTTACATGTTAAAGGAATAATGGAGAATCACTAGAACTGGCAATTGCTACAGGTGTGATAATCCTCTCCAGACATCGTAAGGAATCACGTAAGGTTTTAAAGTGAAAGTAATTGCGGAAGCATACTAAAATATTTAGTTTTCAGTTCTTACTATTGAAATGAGCCAGTAGGTCATTAACAGTCCAAGATTTCAGGAGTCAACTACTCAGCTTAGTCTTTAATCAAATCTTCTTCGGCTTCACTGCGAAAGGAAATTACAGAAAAGACAGAGTCTATCAGAAGGAGTAGGCAGGACTTCCGGCTTATCCCCCCTTGTAGAGACTGGTCAGCCGCTCTAGCTCTTTGCAGTTGTCCATGCTGAGAGCATCTGCCTTCCTCCGCAGCCGCTCATCACGGTACACTTTTGCTGCATACTGCATATCTGTTTCTGCAGACGAGACAGACGAGATGTTCATTAGTTACTAACCATCCACATCACCTTAGTTACTTACATTTAAATAACACTTTAGAGAAGTTCATGTATGTACATATATATTTCTCTGAACTGCCTTTGAAGAAAGAATCGAGTACAATTCCTATAAACCATTACACATGGATATTTTCTTTTCTTTTAAGCTGCTTTGTTTGTTTGTTTGTTTTGTTTTGTTTTTTGGACAGGATCTCTACATAGACCTAGAAGTCCTGAAGCTCTCTATGTAGACCAGGTTGGCCTTGAACTCAGAGATCCTCCTGCCTTTGCTTCTGAGCGCCTGTACCACCACACTGTCAGGTGTTTTCTTTATATAACCTTACTCTGAGCTTAGCACACAGAACCAACACCAACAGGAAATAAGGTGGAGCCTGCCATCTCTTCCCAGAGCCCTTCCCCTGCAGCCTGAGCCCAGTGGCTAAGGCACTGGGATGCCCTCTCAGCCTTTTCTAAAGTATCATCTTGAAACAAGGTCTGCCAAGGCTCTGTTCATCGTGGTTTGTGATAATTCCAACAGTTAAGAACACACATTAAAGTGCCTTTAATCCTAGAGCTCAGGAGGCAGAGGCAGGTGGATCTCTGAGTTCAAGGCCAGCCTGGTCTACACAGCAAGTTTTAGGACAGCCAGAGCTAGATAGAGAAACCCTGTTTCAAAAACCAACCCCCCCACACACACACACAAAACACACAATTAAAATAAACCCCTTCTCCCCATCTCCCTCCTCCACGTTCTTCTTCTTTGTGAGAATAGGTTTCATTATACAGCCGAGCTGGACGCTAACTTGTGGTCCTTCCGCATTGGTATCCCAAGTGCCAAGGCTGTGTATGCTTTCACACATGGGGGAAAACTGGAAAATGCAGCATTCCCCCACGCATATGCAAACAACGCCCACACACATCTGCCTGCCAGAACTAGATGATAAGGCCTCACAGCTGGACATATTACATGGCTTGGTCACAGGAGAATGCAATGGTAATTGTGCTGGAAGCCTCCTCCTTCCCAGATAGCTTTCATAGTGACAAAGGGGGCTATGCAGGCTGATGAAGAATTTTTATCTACAGTCTCATTCAGCTGTGATGGTCTACTGATCTGCTAGGCACTATGTGCCCATCACACAACAGTGCCATGGCTGCTCTGGGGTAACTGAGCACTTTCTGATTGGGGCTGAGGTCCACTCCACATCTGGTACTGTAAACCTGGTCAAAATCCGGGGCTGTGAGATCACAGGCCCAACTGGAGAAGCTATGCTGTTGTTTTGCTAAATGGATACAACAAAGTTGTCTTTAGACGATTTTTTTTTTTTACACCCAGTGATTAACATGTCATCAGCTTTGAAAAGAAAGCTCCTATTTGTAGAATGGAAGAAAGGAAGAGCTGGAGAAATGGAGGGTTATAGACTGATGCCCACCAGGCATGATAGCATGGACTCACAGTAGCTGTAATCTGCAAGGTCTGAGCAACATTGGGTCCACCAGTATTCTTACATGGAAGGGCGGGAGGCCCCAGCCCTCTCTGAGGATCTATAACCAGTTAGCAGATGGTACGGGGAGAGCATCATGAGGCCCTAACCCTCCCTGAGGGGCTATTTGCAGTTACTGGTTGCTGGGGGGAAAAGAGAGGGTTTTTTTTTTTTGTTTGTTTGTTTGTTTTTCCCCCAGTAGTGTCACAGAACTAATGTGAAGATGCCCATGTCCCTGTAAATATCCATGCTCCTGAGAGTGGTTTAACTTACAGAGAGAAAGAGAGAGACAGACAGACAGAGAGACAGACAGAGACAGAGAGAGATGAAAATAGGGAGATTAGCTGGGAAGAAAAGAAGGAGGGATCAGCAGAAGTATGATGGGAACAAGGTAGGTAATGGGAGGTAAACATGATCAAAATACTTTATATACAAGTATTAAATGTCACAATGAGACCCAATGTTATGTACAATTAATATTTGCTGTGGTTGCTTGAATGAAAATGGATCCCATAGGCTTATAGAGTGGCACAATTAGGAGACAGAACCTTCTTAGAGGGGGTGTGGCCTTGGTAAAGGAAGTGTGTCACTGGAGGTGGGCTTTGAGGTTAAGTGAGGACCAGTGGCATATCCTCTTCCTACTGCTTGCTAATTTGGATGAAGAATTCTCAGCTACCTCTCCAGCACCATGCTCCCTGCCATGATGACAACAGACTAAGTCTCTGAACCTGTAAGCCATCCCCAATTAAATGTTTCCCTTTATAAGAGTTGCCATTGTCATGGTATCTCTTTACATCAATAAAAACCCCAACTAAGACATATGATAACAAAAAATAAGCCATTGCTATATACTAAGTAACACTTAACAGTGATAAGCCACTATATTAAATGTTTACTGAATAATATGTTAGGATGATAAGGTAACTAGTTTAGCAAGAAGTAATTTAATCTTCTAGATAATGTGTGACTGGAAGAAACACTGTGTAAGGCTATCTACTCAGCAAAAATACTTATTAAACACAGTAAGACAAGAACCATTTAGTAAGTTCTTACACCGTACCAATTATTATTTTTTGTCACATGTATAAAAATCATTACAATCAACCCCTAATAGATATGTTAGATTGTTTCCAGGGTCTCCAGATACTAAAATACAAGAATGCTTAAGTCTCTTACACAAAACATCTATGTTTGCATAGCCAATACATATCCTCCTGTGTATGTTGCCTCCGTCTTACTAATGTTGCCTAATATGGTGGAGACATGCAAATCGCTGTTAGAATGGACGAGTGAGAGCAAGATGGCAACAAAAAACATAAGCACATGTTCAGGGCAGAGACAACTGCTCTTCTCCTGCAGAGTTTTGATTGACAGCTAGCTGAATCCATGGATGAGGGATGCCTCAAACACAGAGGGCTGACTGTACTTATTCATGTTCTGGATCCCAATTATAAACCAGGTAATTTCCCTCCCTAAGTAGTGAACTCTACAACAATAATCCCAAAGACGCTAAAGGTTTTCTAAAACGGTAAAAATGCCTGACAGACTTACTCTGCTGTCTTTCTTTCCAACAGTTGTTTCGAATGTTGGTCACGTAGTCCTCCTCCACGCTCTTTTCTACCTTCTGTAACAGCGCCCCTTTATATTCGCTTTTAAAGTCTTTACCGACGTAATAAACAACGCCCAAGTTTTCTGTCTGCATTTTAATAGTTTGTCCTGATCCACTGCAAAAGAGGTACACGATCATTCTTCTTTTAATTAAGACTACATCCTAATATGCAATTCAAGAGGCAAAAACAAAAGTAAACATCAGTATTTGTTACATTTTTTGAAAACTTTTCGAGGTTTTGCTTAAGCTTATTTTATTTTCCCATCAATTAAGTCATGTCCCACTTAGTGAAATGAGCCTAAGACCAATTGTTTTCACCTTTCCCCTTTTGTCCCTCATGTCAATATACTGACTACTACACTAAATTCAAATTCAAACATGGCGCTTTTGCCCTTACCCACAGTGGGACAGAAGTGTACAACACCAAGAATCATACAAATGTACCACTTATTTTAACTATTTTTAAAATCAGAGACTTTCTTTAAAAGAGTTGGCACGTAAAAAGCATCAAAGGACCCTTCGAAGGAAGAAAAGAAACAGCAACAATGAAATTTTGTAAGACTTCACTTACGATCTGGGATATAAGGAGTAAGGAGGGTTGGAGACCATCAGCTGGCTTAACAATGACACCAGGATCAATACGATAATTGGCATCAGCTGGATAAACACAGAAAACCCTCCCTATAAAAAAGATCAGAGAACAACACAACACAGTGTATCATGAGCATCAGAAATCCAGTGGTTGTCATACATTCTTACAGGTATAAAGGACATTGTGGCCATCTAGGAAAGTGCTTTCAAAACTGCTAAGTAAACCCAACCTCCTGTTATAATCCCTAAAATACAAACTCCCCAGGGCTTGAGAACTAATCTGACCTCATTTTAAAGATAAGGAAGCCCCCTCCTGTCATATACCCTGAGACACCTGAGTTCTAAGGGGACACAATACACAACGGAACTGGGCTCTGGCCTCTTCCTGTCTAGTCTAGTGTCCTTTCCATTCCTTTCTTTTCTACAAAAGTTGCTCATTTAATACAGGCAATCAGGTATACCCGCATTAGAACCATGCAAAGGCAGAGATGCTTCTAACGAAGGTTTTTCAGTATATTCTAAATCTTTCCAGGATCTATAAAAAGAAGCACCTTCAGAACATGCAAAATAGACACACCATTGTCAGAACCGTGCAATACCAAATCAGAAGGATCACACTGCACCACCCTCCCCGACCTCTACTCCTGCGCCTACTCCTGCACTATTCTCCCAGGATTTGAGTCACTTTTGAACATTGCTAAGATAAAACTCATTATTTCCTAAAACAACTTGCCCTATTTTTAGACAATTCTAATTGCTTTCCTGAACTAGAATTTGTCATTTTGAAATTGATAATCACATTAGAAACATACATCTCCTCTTTCTTCTTCTCTCTCGTGTCCACTGTGTCCGTGCTGATGCGGATGGCTATAAGCAGCCCGGCCATTTGAAAATGAGTGGACACTACCTAGAAAATGAAAAGCAAGGTAAAGTTAGTGAACCCTGCTTGCCTTGAGGCAACTAAAAGCACATGCCACCACGCCTACCCTTCTTGAACTAAATTAAGGGATGTTTGTTTTGAGCAATGAATGTTTACTGCCTGATCTTGCCTCCACCTTCCAAATCAGATATGAGCCACCATCCCCAGCTTTCTAAATTTCTCTGTGAAAATGTGAATAAGAGCTCCTTAACAATGCTAAACACATGAAAGGCCATAGCTGTTGGTGACTGCTCCTACAAACCTTAGGTCTTTATTCCGAAAATTCTGATTTCTGCACTTAAATGAATCAAACACATCTAGAAATCCAAAGAGCACTTCACAGTCAATGGTTTTAAAATGCTAATATATTAAAGTATACGTGCATCACAGATGGACATTGAAGTTGTTTTCAAAGGGGGTGAAGAGCCAGAAATGGTTATTATTGACAAAGTAAACCATGGTATAATTAACAGGGAACTGCAAATTAACTATTAAGAAAAAATTGCTTCAAAGATTTCTGATTGTTCCCAACATGTTTTCAGTCAAAATTCCTAGTTTTAGTAACTTTTCTTGGAGGTAACATATTCTAATTTGTCAAAACACAGGTTAAAGTTTTGATCATTCATTTGTATATTTTACAACTCAGGGATGACTTGCAAAAATGTCCCATCAATGAAAACTGTCTTTCTCTACGATACTAAGAGAGGCTCTCAGGTCACATTCTCATTTTGAAAGGTACACTTTACTCAGCACCTGAAGTCAATGCCATAAACAAGCCTAGAGCTGAAAGAAACTATTCTTAAATTCATGTCCTCTTAAACAATTCACAGTATGTGAAAATAAGAGTTTATACTACTTATGCCACAGTGGAAAACTGCATTTCCTGTCAGCCCCGTTTAAGTGGCTGCTCCTACTGTAACACAATAAAAAAGCACCAAAAGAGTTTAGATATCAATCAGACTGTCTACTACTTCAATGAAAACAACACAGATGGAGACATTTATACACATTGGCATTAACAGTCTAGGGTACTAGTGTCAATCACCCAGGTACCAGATGCTTCCCCTAACTGTAACACTGCCTCTGAATCTCCAATTGAATGCTCCTTTTCTTCAGTTTCTTTTTTAATAAGACAAGTCATCTGTACTATTCAACTCTTAATTAAAGTGCTCTGAATCTCCAATTGTATACTCCTTTTCTTCAGTTTTTTTTTTTAAATAAGACAAGTCATCTGTAATATTCAACTCTGAATTAAAGTATTCTCTAGGAAAAAGACAGGCTTAGTTTTAATGTTTTCCCTCCTCGACAGAAAGTCCTGTAGAAAATGGGAGATATTCATGCTCAAGCCTGTAACCCCAACTCTTGGGAGACCAAGGCAGGGGGCTGCTGTAAATTAGAGATTAGTCGGGGTTACATAGGCAGTTCCAGACTAGAGTGAAAGTGTCTCAAAACAGAACAAAGCCCAGATGTGAATGCTGGAGATCTCTATGAAGTCTACCTGAGGAAGTACAATGAGCTCAGAGTACCTGAAGGGAATCCACCACCAAAAAAGATATTGAACAGGTCCTCTGGAGTTATGTCGGCTTCACAGCCACGGTGGAAGTTGAACCTGCCGTTGTTTTGGTGATTACAAGCTTGTTCCTCACTGCCTGTGAGGTCATACTGTTTTCGTTTCTCTGGATTGCTTAAAACCGCGTAAGCATTTCCGATCTCTAAAAAAAGCAACAAGCAGTAGCATTGAAAAGCAGTGTCTTCAGTTTGTAGAGGACAGTCCCACACACAGCCCATCACTCAAATACTTCTTGAAACCAACTGAGGAAAATCACAAAACGGCAATGGTTTAAGTATTATGTGTATGTTTTGCAGCATCACAAGCTATCTCTTTACACAAGCTAGCTTTCTGTACTAGGCAAATCTTTCCACTGCCTTGGAAATAAAGGGATTGCCATCTACCCCCCCCCCCCCGCCCCCTGCAGCACTGTCCCAAAGCCTTTAAAACCCTGCTCCCCCACTCTGAGTTCTCAAGTTAAGCCACTCAAGATTGCTCAACCTACACAGCATGGATGGAGGTCACAGACCTTTAATCCCAGCACACGGGAAACTGAAGCACAAGGGTTAAAAGTTCAAGGCCACCCTTAGAAACAAGACCAAACCATCTCAGAGGGCTCCACCATGTATTGAAAACCTCCTGTGTCTGCATTTCACTGGTTAATATTTTCCCCATCACAATTACTTGCTAAGTAAGACGTTTGGGGTCAAACACTCAGCATAATATACATATCTACTACTACTCCAAGACATCTCTGCAGGAAATCTACATATTCTTTTTGCACACTACCATCCATTTATTTCTGAACAACTCGTTTTCCTTAAGATAAAAATTCCCATGTGAGAGTAGGGTCCTCTACTGCAATGCTCAGGGTCCAGCATAAAGTCTTATGTGTTGTTGCTATTGTGTTTTGGTTTTGCAATTGGGTCTCACTGTATAGCCCAGACTAGCCTTGAATTATTAACCCATTTAGTGCCTGTGGAAAAACCACAAATGCTTGTAGCTCCTCATTATTTAGAGAATTAAATACAATTTTTATTTTGGTGTTCAAAACTTTACAAAGTTCATTTCTACCTCACTGTCATTTTTTGCACATAAAAAGACCTTTTTTTCTTCAAATATTTTATTTTGTGGTAATTATAGATTCATACACAGTTCTAAAATATAAAATAGAGATTCTCTGCACCTTTTTCTTAGTTTCTCCTGGTGATAATATCAATTATAGCAAAATGTCATAAGTGGAATACTGATGAACACAGAACATTCTATAGCCATCTTTCAAGTATTCTAATTCTTCACTTTGTGTGTGTGCATGATGTGTGTTGGGGACACATAGACCATGGATAACCCTGATCAAGTTGGTTCTTTCTGACCACTGTTCTGTGAGTTCTGGGAATGGAACTTGGGTCACTGGGTTTGCTTGGCAAGCACCTTTATGCTAACTGAACCATCTTACTGGCACTAAGAGGTCCTCTTTCATAACCACATTCAATTCCTGCTCCATCCTGATTCTCTTCAATACCTGATAACTACCTAACTATTGGTCATTTCTCTAATTGTATCATTTCTAGGATGCTGAAGGCCCAGTTGGGGGTGCATGTATATAATGTCAGCATGAGAGAAGCTGAGACAGAAGGACCCTGGGTTATATGTTGAAGTTCTCTCTCTCTCTCTCTCTCTCTCTCTCTCTCTCTCTCTCTCTCTCTCTCACACACTTCTCTCTCTTTACACACACACACTCTCTATAAAAACAGGATTACTTCATATAAGTGAAACTCTTTGGAACTGACTCTTTTCAATGAGCACAGTACCCAGACAGATCCAGCTAGTCATATCAGAAGTGTGTTCATTTTTATTACTACATACCACTCACTCCTACACCATGGTATGGCTACAGTACTGCTGGTTTAACTGCTCATCCTCTCAATGACAGCTGGGCCCTTTCTAGTTTGGGGCTATTACAATAAAGCTGCTATATGCCTTTACCACAGGTTTATGTATAAATGTAAATGTTCATTTTTCTGGGATAAATGCCAGGAGTGCATTGCTCAATTGTATGGTAGCTCAGAATTAGGTTTTTGATCAACTTCCAAAGCTGTTCTGCAAATGATTCTCATTTTACATGAATAATCCATTCCTTGCACTCAGAACCTTTAAAAGGAGCCAGTGCACTTTCCTACGCTAGCCATTATGATAGGCGCACAGCATTATCTGGCATCTTGCTTTCACTCTGCATTTCTCTAGTAGTTAACGATGCCGAAGTCTTTCCATGGCTCCTTTGCCATGTGCAAATTATCTTCAATAAAATATCACTTCGTGTGTGTGTGTGTGTGTGTGTGTGTGTGTTTCATGTTGTATGGCACATGTGTGCATGCTCATGTATGTATGCATGTGCAAGCATCTGTGTTTGCATGTGTGCAAAGGCCAGAGGATAACCTTTGGGTGCCCCAGGGATTCAGCAAGGATTCTGAGTGTGTGCTGCCATCACGCTTTTCTTCACATGGGTTCTAGGGATCTAACTCAGTGCACTTTACTGAGTCACCGCCCCAGGCCCTTCTGGGTGCTTTAAATAATAATTTTAAAAGCTTTTATTATCATACATTAATTATGCATAATAATGGGTTTCACTGTGATATTTTCATGTGTGCATACATAATGTATTTGATCATATTCATTCCCATTAGCCTCCCATACTGTTTTGTCCCCGCCCACCCCTTCTTGTCCCCGCCCATTCCCACAAATCCCTGTTTCTTCCCAACTGGCCCCACTTCTATTTTCATGTCTTAAACTTTTTAAAAACATATTTCATGTACGTGTGTGTGCTGCACGCATGTGGAAGTCAGAGGACAAGTCTGTTTATGTCTTTAATCTCCACAAGGTTGATTGTGATATCTCTGCTGTAGATTTCCTTTAACTGCTTAGGGCTCATTCAATTTCTCATATACAAAAACTTGCATTTTGGTGTGAAGTTTGGGAAGTCTCCAAACTTTCATTATCGGCACTTTCAGCTCAATCTTTCTCCCCGCTCTCAGAACCCCCCCCCCCTTCCCAAGACATGAGCATCAGATCTTCTGTTACAGTCATGGTCTCTGAGGCCGTGTCTTCAGACATGAGCATCAGATCTTCTGTTACAGTCATGGTCTCTGAGGCCGTGTCTTCAGACATGAGCATCAGATCTTCTGTTACAGTCATGGTCTCTGAGGCCGTGTCTTCAGACATGAGCATCAGATCTTCTGTTACAGTCATGGTCTCTGAGACCATGTCTTCAGCCCTCTATCACAGTCTTGTTCAAAGTGTCCATTTTTCTTTGTCTAGTTTGTCTGTTCTTTGCTCATTCTGCCTTTCTTCCACTCATTCATTAGTAGGGATTTCAGATCTCTACTTTTGATAATGCATTTCCACTTTGTTCAGATTCTGTATTTCTTTTCAGATCTTGTTTGCGTTTAGCCCACTAAAGTTCATTCTTCAGATCATCTGTATCACAGCTACAGTAATGTCTTTACTCTTCTGTCCTCTCCATGTGGGTATCTTTAACAGACTGAGTTTTAAAATTCCACTCGAGGTCCTGGTTCTTGGAATAAGAGATTTTCAATCGAAATTTTGTTATTTCGTCTACTGGAAGGCTCCGCATCTTAAATGCTGCGCTTTACCTTCTTTTCCTTGTACCATTCCAATGGCACAGGGGACACTACCTCACCACTTTCAGGCAGGAACAGACATCCAAGCCAGGTTCCTTGCCCCTCCGACTCTGATGACATCAAGTGTTTGAGTGGGGAACTCCTCACCAGCGCTGGGAAGATATGGGGTTTCCAGACTCAGATAGGACTATAGCTGTCTCCTGGCTAAAAGAGAATGAGTGCCTTATTGCTGCTCTCTGTGTGGTTTTACTAACACTGTGAGGCTATAGCTTTGTTGCTTCTAAATGGTGGTTACCATGTCATTTGCAATTCCCCTTGTGATGGTAAATCTAAACTACCAACATGATTAGACTTAAAACTGCCTAGGAGATTGGTAAAGCAATACGTTGAGTCGTAGGTGCTGAGGGTAGAACGTAGAGCCCAACTGGAGGAAGTATGCCGTGTGCCTCATGCTGTTAGAGCGGTAACTTATTCTGGCTTCCTTTCTGCATCTCTTTTCTTTGCTCCTATCTACCATTATGTGCATAGCCTTGACACAGCATGGCATGGCATGCCATGTACTTTCCCTTCATGATAGACAGACATTTCTTAAACCATATCCCCAAATAAATCTCACACACTCCCCTTAAGTTATGTGTGTCACTTATTTGATCAAGCTGGTGTGAGAGTAACTAATATGCCACCCCAGTAGGGAGGAGAATAGCTATTCATCTCCAGGGAAGCAGGGGTGTGGCCCCCACAGCATCCCATTGACACCATGGAAGGGCAGGAAAGGTAAAGGGGACTATGCAGCATGAATGAAAGTGGAAGCTATTCCTGAGGCTGGAGAGATAGCCTGGCAGTGAAGAACACTGGTTCTTACGGAGACCTGGGTTCGGTTCCCAGCACCAGCATGACCATCTGAAAGTCTAGCTCCAGGGGATCTGATGAGGACATCAGGCACATACATACATGAAGGAAGAACACTTACATATAATAAATAGTTTAAAAAAAAAAAAAAAAAGGAAGGAACCTGAAGCTCCCAATTCCTCCTCTGCCACTGTCCCTCCAGGGGATTAGAATATCTGTTAGGGCAGGGAGCTTAGTGTGGGTCGCTATGAGGTCAATTTTGTAGTATTTGAGCACAGTGGTATTTGGAACAATTACTACTTCTTTCTTGTATATTTCTCGGTGTTTTGGGGTTGCCAAGTCTTCAAGTCCTCCATCACCTAAATTTAGGATATGCAAGGTCAGATCTACCAGATACTACGGTGTCCCCGCCACACTGCTCCCCGAGTACCGCGGTGTCCCCGCCACACTGCTCCCCGAGTACCGCGGTGTCCCCGCCACACTGCTCCCCGAGTACCGCGGTGTCCCCGCCACACTGCTCCCCGAGTACCGCGGTGTCCCCGCCACACTGCTCCCCGAGTACCGCGGTGTCCTGCCACACTGCTCCCCGAGTACCGCGGTGTCCCTGCCACACTGCTCCCTGAGTACCGCGGTGTCCCCACCACACTGCTGGTGTGGTCCTGAGTACCGCGGTGTC